GCAGTGCATGTAGGAGCAGTGATGGTAGTGTATTTTACTGTTACTATATATATATATATATATATATATATATATATATATATATATATATATATATATATATATATATATATATCATTAAATATCAAGTAGAGCACACATATAGATACATGCATTTTTTACTGAAAGAAAAAGGAAAAAAAATATGTATCAAAACCCTGTCAGTGCCACAAAGAACCACCTTGACACCCGGATTATATGTTGCAAATAATACGTCATTTGGAGATAATATAGCGTGGTGAACATAGCGTTACGGTATCCCCCATTAACCTAGCGGCTTAACGCAAGGATTTGGGGGTCTATTGTAAATATTAGAATATTGACTAAGTCCTATGTATTGACTAAGAAGCTGGGTATTTATCAATACCACACCCTTAAGTGAGTGAAAACCACGGGGCGTTTTATATGAAATTTTATTTAATACCCTACATGACTGGTCCCTTGATTGGAGTCGATTTAGTAAAAGTATTAATGTTGTGTATATGATATGTATTGTTTGCAGTATTATTTTTGCAATAAGTCATCTTCTTTGTCTATTTCTGGTGGTCAGTTGAATAAGATACTTGTCCTATTTTTATTCAGCAGATGCCCGTATAGAATTTTTTTCTTTTTAATAAAACGGATGCAGTGCATTTAGTGCCGTGGTATTTATAAAAGTTGTGTAATAATATTTCCCTTTTGGAACATTTGTTGGAATACACTATGTACTTTATCTTTATCTAGTGATCGTTTAAACTGGCAGCTAGTTCAAATTTTTATTCCGGAGATGCCCGTATAGATTATTTTAATATAACGGCTGTACCAGCATTTATTGTATTATAATTCACTTAACAGACTAGCAATATAGTATATATTTTCGCTTAATTTTTTTCTGATTTATCATTATTATCATTGCCATTACTATCGACAGCATTCATTTGGCAACCAGTCATGGGATTTTTCATTGCCGTCGACATTTTGGACCTTTGGAACGAAAGATAGTGACTTTTTTCTAGAATTTGCCTCGCCCTCTAGTAAAATGAAATTGATAAATAAAATGTTAGCAAACATTACAAAATGAAGGACTGGAAATAACTGAATACTCATTACAAATCAAAATTTATTGTAAAAGTCTTCGAACGGCCCATCCAAACTCACATTTCTCCCCAGCAAATACTCAGAGTAGAGAGAGGGAGAGAGAGAGAGAGAGAGAGAGAGAGAGAGTGGGGGGAGGGTGAGAAAAAGAGCGAGAAAGAGACATTTTCCCTCACCCCAAACCCTACGGGCACATGTGCATTACACTTGATCTGTACATTAATATTTTTTTATAAACCACAAAGGTAAAAAAAAAAACATGCCCACCATACCGTTTGCTCGTTAGTGTGTTCACTTACCGAAGAAAACTGTAGATAATCCTTGTTATCCATATTTCTTTTCTGTGTACTCTATATATCCTATAATACCATATTATATATATGACACCTTAAGTAAGCGTCCTTAGATCAACACGAAGTGGTCCTTTAAAGCAAGGGGCAGCGTTCCGATGACCAGTCTGCCCAATATTAAACAAATGTGCTCAGTATCACCTTCCAAGTTGAGGCAAGTTAAGGCTCTAGTTAGACGCCCTCACTGTTCACATTTTGGATCGTTTCATCTCTCCTCAGTTTACTTAAACAACGCGAACAGCTCGGTGACAAATCGAGACTGTCACCGCGGGTAACTGTCATCTTCCTCCATGGGAAGTCTCCCTGTCAAACTACACGATCCCCTTATGTTTCATTTAACGCGAATCCGTGGCTTGCTAGTTTGCACAGGTGACTAGTAGAAACACGCTGTATCCCCCTTTTGACTGAGAGAGATTGAGTGTAAACGCTATATCGTCGCAGGGCCCTGCCCAGCATTCAGACCTGCACACAGGTATTCAGGCTTTTGTTCTCTGTTCCTTTTAACAGTTGTATAGAAAGCTTATTCACGTTTCCGATGACCCATAATAAGATCGCGTCAACAGGGTTGGGGCTTTATTGTTACATGTTGAGTATTCGAGCTATTTATGCTACTTTTTTTATAACAGATTTTTGTTATGGTTTGAAAACGTAGTTGTTTATTCGATCATATTAGTTGTTTAATTGTTTTATTCGTTGTTTAATTGGCTAAATCAGGCTGAGATGCTCGTACCTGTACTTGTCGACTAGTAATATGTGATTATTTGAAAATAACAAGATTTGTTTAAATCCAGGGCTTGACATTCTTTTCATCTATGATTTTTCATCGGAATTTAACTTACTGGTAGATACAAGTATTAAGTACAGGATAGGATACACTTAATATTCATGGTTGAAATAATATAGGAAAACGGGTGCCCTTTAAGTATATGAGGAATACAATATACCAGTATTAACAAAAGAGGGGGAACACATAATATGATTACATAAACGGAAGGGTATTACGGGCAAGATCAATACGTCGATCTTACTAAACAATGTACCTGGTTTAAATCGTATGGATTGGACTACCGTGGACGCCGTGAAAGAGGCGTATTGTCACGTTGCTGGTATACTCAGTATAAGTACCTGTACATGTGAATGTGCATGGGCATTCAATAATGTACGTGTGATTCACTCTGTTAATCATCTCGATATGTTTTGTCTCAAGCACTCCAATCTACACCGTATTGTTTTCTTTGGCTTTCGGGAGGGGGGGGGGCATTTTTTTGTTTTGTTTTGTTATGGTAGGGGTAACTTATTTATATTATGTAATGTGTTATAATATCTTATTTAATTCCGTATGTAATATGCGATGTACAGGTTACGTATGTAATTTTCCCAAAAGTAGGCGCCTTCGAAACATGATTTTTGAGACAGAGTTGCAATTTCAACAGTATACATAAAGGACAGACAGAGAGAGACGATCAGAGAGAGAGAGAATCAGAGAGAGAGAGAGAGAGAGAGAGACAGATTAAGCATCTGCTACTGGTAAAGGTCTCCTTGTTGCATCACACATTTAATCAACCAAGTGAGATCAAAACGGAAAGCCTCCTCGCCCAGAAAACATGTAATTGTGCCTGAAAGAATCCAAGCTTTTTTGTTAAGTCACTGAATCCAATCCAATATAAGTTAACGGTATATCAACCTTTTCTCTTTTATTGCTTTACCTTCCGCTCGATTGAAATGCTTTACAGCATCCATAGATAAAACCTTTATTTTTTCAGATAACAACAGCATGAACACACGTCGCTCCATATCAAACGTGTTTTTCAGAATAAACAATCCCTTAACAGTCGAACACGTATTGGAGATGACCCTAAGCGACCTTTCTTCAGGAAGATGACGAGCGCTTTGAATCGAAGACGTTTTTTTTTTTTTTTTTTTTTTTTACCGTGCAACCCATGGCAGTAACTTAAGGTGTGCAATAGGGTAAAATTGCCTAAAATCATGTTTTTGAGTTTTTCTATGTGTTTACATTAAACAAAAACATTGGATGTAACATTGGATGAAATAATTTATCTTGAGTATAGACCAAAAAATGATTCTTTTGACGAGTTTCTCTTACATCTACAGCGAGATTTATTTATCTAATCCGACTCGGCTCTAGTCATTCTCGGAGGGAAAAAAACCGCAACACCGCAGCTTTGTTTCTAAAGCCAAAAATCAATTTATTACCTGGACATTACCTGGTTTTATATCTAAGAAACGTGTGACAGAAATCACGAAATCTTAAATTAAGCGAAATAATGGACAATTGAAGACAAAATGATTTCAACAGATAATATGTTTATATTTAAAAAAAACAAGCTGCGTGCGCATGCATGTAACTCCATTAAAATTAATTTGTATGTCTGGCAATTATTTTGCCATCGTCTCTTCTTTTTTTTTTTTTTCAAAAAAAAAAAAACAAACAAACATAGAGTATACATTTTATTCAACTATTATTACTATTTTAAACAGCAACATTCAATTCCGAAAGTACTTTAGAAATCATAAATGAATCATGTAAACGTAATGAATCAATAAATGGTAGTTTCATTGGAATTTTTAAGATTTTCCATTCCTGTGTTTATCATCTAAGATCAGAACGCATACAGTCCGATAATGCTGGTCTTGTGGTCGGAAGCTGGTACCCGATGCTCTCGGGCCGTGGGGAAAAACCCGTCTAAACCCGTCGTGGGGAATGCCGGGAAAGTGCCCACGCCCGGATACTTCAGTCTATATTACATGATAACATCAGTTTTTATTGGTACTGTGCCGTACAGTTCAAAAATATTGCCCCGTTTTAGACAGCACGGGGCTACTGAATAAACTTTCTCTCGCGACTACAATCTATGCTCTATATACACTATACTGGTACACAAGATGAAGCACAAGAATTTATAGCACTTCCTACAGAAAGAGGTACTAAAACCAAGTCAGATATTTAACATAATTAAAGCGAGGCCAGTTTTAACTTTATATAAGAAGATGAGGTCATAAATAAAGTGACTCGATCATTTTGCAACTGAGAGCATCCTTCAGACTTTGATTAAAGTTTCTTTCTAAAATAAAATACGTACAAAGATTCAGGTAATATAATTATCACTCAGGCAGCTAATGATTTGAACTAAACTTTGACATACAAATCGGAATATATTTATGTAAGATAGTCTACTTTAGGGGCTCTAATCCGACTCGGGATAGTCTAGGTATCGGCTATCGGGGAGTTATGCCCGGAGAATAAGTTACGCAACACCGCAGGTTCATTTCCAAAAAAAAGATTTTATTACCTGGATATTGCCAACATTACTACTTTTAAAGATGAAAGGTACGTGACAGAAATCGCCAAATCTTAAATTAAGTTTAAGTGAGAAGGGACAATTGAAAAGAATTTCGACTGATAATTAAACGAACCACGTGCATAGGCATGCAACTCCACTAAAATAAATTTGCAAGTCTAGTGATTATTTTCCCCATCTGAACACGCTTTTAAAAAAGAAAAACAAAAATGAAAAATTAGAGAATATAGTTTTATTCAACTATTGTATACAATAACATTCAATTTCAAGTACTCGAGTAATCATAAATGAATCATGTAAATGCAATGAATCAATAAATGGTAGTACCCGATGCCCACGGGCCGTGGGGAAAAACCCGTCTAAACCCTTCGTGGGGAATGCCGGGAAAATGCCCACGCCCGGAAACTTCAGTCTTAAAAACACGATAACTTCAGTTTTTTTTAGTGGCACGGTGCCTTACAGTTCATAAATATCGTCCCGTTTTGGACAGCATTGTGTAAGTGAATAACTTTTTTCTCGTGACTACTAACTATTCCCTCAATACACTATAGTGGTACACAAGATGAAGCACAATAATACATGCAATTCCTACTGAAAGAGGTACTGAAGACATGACATTGACTAGTGTCTTAATTAACACAATTGAACTGAGACTCATTTTAACTTCATCTAGGGATATGAAGTCATAAATAAAGTAACTCGACCCTCTATAACGGAAAGCATACATCAAAACTTGGTATAGTTCTCTCTCGTGATAAAATACACAAAAGTTCAGGTAATATGATTATTACCCAGACAACTCAATGATTGAAATTGACATCTCACTGTTTAAAACAGAAGTTTCTCAAATGTAATTTTGCCCTGAAATCGCAACTACCTATGTGATACAAGAAAAGCAAGCTTGCTTACACATACTTCATATTTTACACTACACTGTATGACCGTCCATGCAAATTTCAATATGAATTCTTGGGTCCGGAGAAAAAAGTGCATATATGATGAATTGGATATGTTTGTCAACTAGAACACTTGAGAAAATCATAATTAATTAGTAATATTAGTAATGCGCGGGTTACTTGAGGTTAGTGTGCGGCTTATGATCTTCTCAAACGTTATACTGACAAACAACTCCACATCATCAAAAGCACAAATTTGAAAAATGACTACATCACTAAGATTGAAATAAAACACAGACGACCATAAGTGGTGATAATAACAATGTTTTGCGAGCGAAAACTTATCTGCATTTTGAATGTGGATAAAGCAACTGTATATCGCTCTTCACAACAGTTCCACATTCTCTAAAATATTTTTGCAGACAGGCTGTGTCCTTAAAAACCCAGACTGCTAGGACGTCCGATCAATGAAAGTGGCAACAGGGGCTCTTTGCTAGCGCATTAAGTGTTTCACATCTTGGACATTTGGGCCAAGATTGATGGGATCTGCGTTCGGGCATTAATTCTGGAAAACTGCCCTTTCGTAGCCTACAAATGGAATGTAACATGTTCACACAAAAAGTATGAAAAGTAATTGAAAACTTCTAGTAATTGCAACAAAGAACATCTATGTCACTGATATTTACATGCCGCTAACTCTAGTATTTTGATGTTTCTTATTGTTTTAGTTCTTAACACGATATTTTTTTAATTTATTTTATTTTATTTCTACAACACAATATAAGAAAACCACATCATGATTTTAGAGAGTGCTAAGATTCTACAAAAAGAAAGTGACTAGAAAATAAAAGGGGATAAAAGAAGGAATATGAATCACGAAAACGCCTAACAATCTGAACAATATAAACAGATGAATTCACATGCTCACCTGCACGATGGTGTTTTAGTACACGTTCCACAACCACAGCGCTGGGGCGAGGTTGGGGGTAGTCGTTCCTAGTATTCCAGACCAGTGATAACGCCACGTGTGTCACATTGAAACTGGTGAAGATCTGAAAGTTGGCCGATAGGAAGTCAAAATATTTTGGACGAGTGATGTTTCTTTCTTTTTTTTTTTTCTGCGAGTTTGTGACAAATTAAAATATTTTGACCGCTAAAATAAGTTTTTTTTACATGGGTTTTTCAAGTTTGTGATAAATTAAAAGAGCTAAAATGTCTGCCATATGAATGTCCTTGAGTAAATTCTAAGTAGAAAGAAAAAAATACCAACATTCACAGGCTAGCCAAGTCTAAGGCGTTGCACAAATTGTCCAGTTTGTTAACCTGGCCCATAACATAACCCTTACCTTAAAGGGCCCTAAGTTCCAATGGTATCACAACTAGACAAGGACTCTTGAAATCCCATATGCTGACATCGTTTTCTCCATTTTAAGTTTATGAAAGTGGACCATCATCAGGGCATGCGCTCACCAATGCTATCTGCCTCGACTACAAAACGGAAATTTAGAAGACAGTAGTTTCCCTATTTACCTCTTCTCCCTACCCTACCCACTAACGTTAATTTTTTTTTCCAGAAATGGGTCAAGGGGAAAATGCACTACCTTGTGGAAGTGGGCTGTAAAATTAATGTGGCCAGGGGCTTTATCTCAATAATTTTATAAGGTAAACAAAATGACTTTAGTGTATTAGGCCTATTCTCCGCAATAGGAGTTACCTTTTACGGCTTTGAAGATTTCCATTTCCGAGAAACACCATATGCTACTGATGTTCCCCCATGCAGCCACCTTCTAAACAGACCATGGCTAGAATCTTCTTACGAAAAGTGAGGGCTCTATCTGGATTTGCCATAATCGAATACTCTAAATACAAAGGAAAAAGTGTTAGTTTTTCCATTTACCTCCCTGCACCAATGCACTAACTTTGAAAAGTGGTTTATCCCAAAAGGGCGGTTAATGGCCGAAAGAAATCATTTTTACGGTGGCAGTGGATCGTTTCATAACAATGCATTGCCAAGTGCTTTTCTACCATGTTTAAATTGGTTATTTGACCATTGTTTTTTTTTTAGGTTTTCAAAAGAACTTTTGGTTTGATTTAATTTTTAATGTATTTGATACACCATAATTCTAAAAATATCAAGCTCTTGTTAATAATAATAATAATATAAAAATGCAATCCAGTCCAGTTTTACTAAAATTGTTATTCGGACCAGTGAATCATGACTCAGACCAGTAGTTTTTAGGGAACTCGAGGTCCGAATGGCCAGTGAGGTGAAAAGTTTACGGCAAAGACCAACTAAAAAATCTCGAATGGCCAGTGAGGTGAAAAGTTTACGGCAAAGACCAACTAAAAAATCTTTTAAGTCTATTTTCTCCCCAATAACACGAGTTACCTTTAAGAGTTTTTCATCTCGGTGAAACACCAAATGCCTTGGACGCTTCCCCAATGCAGCCACTTCGTAGACGGACCATGACAGAACTCGCTGGACGCTTCCCCAATGCAGCCACCCCGTCGACAGACCAAGACAGGACTCGCTGGACGCTCTCCCAATGCAGCTACCTCGTAGACAGACCATGGCAGGATTCGCTTGACGCTCTCCCAATGCAGTCACCCCCTAGACNGACGCTTCCCCAATTCAGCCACCTCTAAGACGGACCATGGCAGGAAGCGCTAGACACTCCTCCAATGCAGCCACCTCGAAGACGGACCATGGCAGAACTCGCTGGACGCTCCTCCTGTGCAGCCACCTCGTAGACGGACCATGGTAGGACTCGCTGGACGCTCCTCCAATGCAGCCACCTCGTAGACAGACCGTGGCGGGATTCGCTGGACGCTCCTCCTGTGCAGCCACCTCGTAGACGGACCATGGTAGAACTCGCTGGACGCTCCTCCAATGCAGCCACCTCGTAGACAGACCGTGGCGGGACTCGCTGGACGCTCCTCCTGTGCAGCCACCTCGTAGACGGACCATGGTAGGTCTCGCTGGAAGCTCTCCCAATGCAGCCACCTCGTAGACATACCGTGACGGAACTCTCTGGCACCAAGGGATCGGAGTCGCTGAAGCGTAGATGTGGTCCTCTTCTTCCTGTTGTCGGAGCTCTCTCGAGAATCGCCATCACCGAGTTCTGTTAACAGAAAGAAAAACGAATTAATGACTTCTCCAACCTATGTAAGCACTCTGCAGTCAGGCTTACCTTTCATCTCAGTGAAACACCACGTGCCGTGGACGCTTCCCCAATTCAGCCACCTCGAAGACGGACCATGGCGGAACTCTCTGGCACCAAGGGATAGGAGTCGCTGAAGCGTAGATGTGGCCCTCTTCTCCTTACAGTTGTCAGTGGAAGCCCTATCGAGAATCGCCATATCGAGTTCTGTAAAAAGAAAGACAAACGGATTAATGTCTTTTTCTTCCTATGCCAGCACTTTACGGTCAGGCTTACATTCAAGGTTTTTCCATTTCAGTTAAACGCTACATACCTTGGACGCTCCCCCAACGCAGCTTCCTCGTAGTCAGGCTATGACAAGACTCGCTGGCACCAAGGAGTGATCGGAGTCGCTGAAGCGTAGATGTGGCCCTCTTCTCCTTACAGTTGTCAGCGGAAGCTCAATCGAGAATCGCCATATCGAGTTCTGTTAACAGAAAGAAAAACGGATTAATGTCTTTTTCTACCTATGTCAGCACTCTGCACTCAGGCTTACATTTAAGGTTTTTCCATTTCAGTTAAACACTACATACCTTGGACGCACCCCAATGCAGCCAACTCGTAGACGGACAATGGCGGGACTCGCTGGACGCTCCTCCAATGCAGCCACCTCGTAGACAGACCGTGGCGGGACTCGCTGGACGCTCCTCCAATGCAGCCACCTCGTAGACAGACCGTGGCAGGACTCGCTGGACGCTCCACCAATTCAGCCACCTCGTAGACGGACCATGGCGGAACTCTCTGGCACCAAGGGATCGGAGTCGCTGAAGCGTAGATGTGGCCCTCTTCTCCTTGCAGTTGTCAGTGGAAGCTCTATTGAGAATCAGCATATTGAGTTCTGTTAACAGAAAGAAAAACGGATTAATGACTTTTCCTACCTATGTCAGCTCTCTGCTTCCTGGACCTGTAATAAGAAGAAACCTGGAATGCATAGAAATATACATGCAACGACACTACAATAATAGCCCACAACAGAAGATGGCGACGAAGTTTCCTGCGAAGATTCCTGGGCGACGATTCCTCGTGGAGAGAAGCGAAGAGAAGCTGGCCAGCTTAGAGAAACGTCGAATCCACCGTCCAGACGTCTGCGTGTGCAAGAATCGACATGTCGATGAGCGATACGCTGACTAGAAAAGATTCGGAAAAATGTGAGTCGACTCCTGTGTCCTTTTTGCTTGATATTGGGCGCAGTGCATGGCGTCCTTCTTGTCGCTCTAGCTCCGTCTGCGTTGAATGAACGCAATTTCAAACTTTCGCGCTTTTATACCTTTAGTGATATAAAGTCACATGGTGGCGTTCCTGGTTAGCCTGTTCATGGGGGGTGGGGGTGGGGGCATATGATAGTCATGCCCATGATTAATTATAATAACTTTTTAACATTTACATTTTATTAATTTTTTTTTTAATTTTGATTGTTCTGTTTATCATTTTATTTTATAATAAGACTTATAAGTATTAAGCAGTGACTTCGAAATGTACAGGCAAATTTGATGATAATTTCTAAGCAACTTACCTTCTCCCCAAAATTATAATAGGCCCGATGTCCGTTACACTGGAACAGGTAGCCGTGAACTTCTCGCAGGCCACTCTAGAACGTGTTTATTCGAACACTGGTCCAAAACGTAGATAGTGTAATAGGGCATAGGGTGACTGCATTTTCGATACAGCCCGAGGGAGCATGGCTGTGTTGATTGTAGTGAATTGTAGTGAGTCAATTGAAAGTACACTAGACTTACACTGTAGCATATACAGCCACCTCAGTACTCTAAAACATATTTTTAATCAACTGAGTTGTTATTCTGAGAAATGAAAAACACGTGAAATTGTGATTTTACGAAACGAAAGAAAACAGCAGTAGGTCACACGAATAATCTTGATTGACTTAGACCAGGCAGTAGAAACAAATGAATATGTTCTGCATATAAAATGTCTTCTGATATAGGTAATAATTTACAACGGACGCCTCCCTTCATGGCTTCAGGTTATCAGTACTCTGATGCCAGTAGCATGGGTAGAGAGAAAAGACGAAAAAATAAAACAAGACAGTAAGATAAAAATTAAATATTTCTCATTTATACGTTTACTTTACCCACTTACACCTCAGTTGAAAACAGCACTTGTACGCGTTTTAACATTGTTATAAGTCTGAGTGGTCACTAATGGTCAATATAACTAATGATTCACACGCATTTTCTTCTTCTTCTTTTTCTTCTTCTATTTATTATTGTGATAATTATGTTGTTGTTGGTGGTGGTGGTGGTAGTGGTGAAATTACTGTTTAAAACGATGTAAACTCTTATCGCTTGTGACAATTTTGTCACTGGGAAGTGTCAATCACACATACGATTTCATTGTCTGTAGACACGAACTAACATTTGAGGGAATATTTGCACAGTGATAAAAAAAAGCTTGTATGATGACATGCCGGTTTTATATTTTTCCAAAGCACCTTGACCCATGAATTTTTATTCCTGTTAGTTCTCGAATGAAGGTACAAGGTATTGTTTGGTGATGAAAACTGGCTGAATAGCGCGCGTTAAAAAAAGAGACAACACAAATGTCCCGAAATCAAGGTTGGAAGAAATTTGATCGTTTTACGTGGCTTAAGTTAATATTTGCGCGCACTCATGAGCGATATATACTGAACTATTTAATTAAAATGTAAACAGATCTGAATAAATTGCAGTGTGTCAGGGTTGTCGTGAAAAGTGTGAAAGGAGTTTGCAGTGCGTGGTATAAGACATTTTTATCATCTCCATCAGCGTTCATGTAAATATTTTTAGGTCTCAAACTTCGACCTTGTGGGGTACAGTTTTGCTTTAACATTTAGTGAGTCGTAATAGTTAATATGCCCATCAAAATACGCAGTTTCAACCAAGCTTATCCCTGTTAAAAAACACATAAATATAAAGCCAGAATATTTTCCATGTTTATTTTTATTTTAATTTTCTTGAATTCAACTATAACAATGGTTAATATAGAACTGCATAATACCAACTAAAATACTCAGAATTATTGTCTATAATCACTATAAAACAATACGCTTTTTTACTTAATACTGGGCTAAGCACTTTCTAAACCAATATATGGGAAACGTGATTGGACAATGTATCAATCCATGTTATTCACCCTTGAAAAAAAATAGAAAGGGACTTATGGGACTTACGGTGTATTTGGGTATCAGTTCCATAGGCTTACACTGAAGTGAAGTAAGAATAAATAAAACCATTTAATAGACGTGCATTACTTGAGTATTTTTTATATTTTAGTACCAGCATTGCATAGTCAGTAATAATTTTCTACTCTGCTGGCAGAAAGTTTCAATTCGGTTTCAAGATCGAGTAACAAATAGACTAAACATATGCGCAAAGCTACGCAACAAGGAAAATATCGTCTTCATTGTTATATACTTGTGTAATCTAAGCATTCTTGAAAAGCAGAGGAACAAACATTCAACCCTTATCTAGCAGTCATGTTCATTTGCTAAAAACGATTTTACTTCCTGGTACGCTGTTCCTTGTACCATGTAACATCCTCATTGCACATCCTCAAAAAAATTCTAAGAGCGCAAGTATCAGCTGTTGTATTTTGCCACGATCGAATGTCTCTTCTCTTATTTGGAAAAATAATAATATTACTATTCAACATCATAACAAAAAATTATGATATTTTTCTCCGTGAATGATGACAGGAAGTCGGGGTTGGGGTGCGCTCTGTGTGACGTTAACACACCATAAACTCACATTACGTGAACGTTATTTCTGGCATCAAATTTACCCCAGTATACCAAGTATAGATAACGTCAGCATGCCCCTGTAATGTGCGCCATCTAAGCCTACGTATATACGTGCTGCATGTGACGATTGTCCTGTAACTTGCGACGTAAACATGGGCCTATCACAGAAAATGTGGCATCAATGCAACCACTCAGGGTGTGACGTCAAATGATTCCGGCCCTGTTACGTCGCAACGACTAGAATACGCACCTATCAGAAGTGTCGTTGTATTCAAAGTGGTGGGTTCTGAGATCTAGGCATCAGAGCCTGAGAACGCTGGTGTTGATGGTGTTGTTAAAGATGCTGAAGACATATTTAGTATCTAGTCCTGAGACACTGTTTTGTTCAGAGAAACGGGAGTTGTCGTTGTAGTGTTTGTAAATGAAGTAGGCGATGTCGGCGATGATGTTGTTATTGTTGTTGGAGGTGGTGGTGTCATTATTGTTGTTGTTAGTGGTGTTGTTGTTATGTATTGTTGTGTTGTTGTTGAAGAGAAAGTGGTTGTGGACTCGAGTGTAGTTAAGGCGGAAGACTGACTGGAAACCGACGTCCCAACTGTTGTAGGGGAACTGATTGAAGTTGCATTAGTGGGAGACAGAGTTGGGTCAGAAAATGATGCATTCGAAGCGGAATGGTTTGTCGATGAAGAAGCATTTACAGATGGAAGAGGGGAGGAGGAATGATTGAAAGAAGGCGGTGAATTAGAAGAATTAGTGAGAGATGAGTTAGTTGGTGGAATTGTAGAAATAATGGTCGGGGATGAAGAAGAATTTGAACTAGATAGAGATGAATTAGAAGGCAAAGAAGAATTCATTGGAGGAGAATGCGATGTATTGTATTGAGAAACACTTGTGGGCATTGATGCTATTGCTGTTGTTGTTGTTGATGATGATGTTGTTGTTGTTACTGTTGTTGTTAATGATGATGATGTTGTTGTTGCTGTTGTTGTTGATGATGATGATGTTGCTGTTGCTGTTGATGATGATGATGATGATGTTGCTGTTGTTGTTGTTGTTGTTGATGGCGATGCAAAGGAAGAGGATGTCGAAGGTAAAGAATTAGTAGTATTAGTAGACGGAGAAGAAGCAGACGTGGAAGACAACGACAGAGTCGATGAAGGTGGTGACGTCAAAAGTAGTGGATCGTCAGCAACAATAGAACTGTCATTGACAGCTGATGAATTAGAAGGTATGTTGCTGGCAGGGTCACTGTCTACGGGTAGAGTGCCGTTGGTTGAAGTAGGCGTTGGTGTTAGTGTCGTTTCGTTAACATTGATTGTTACTGTCGTTGGCAATGTTGAAGATTTCACTGTAGCGTTTGTTATGATTGCAGTCGTCTCTGCCGTAGTTGTTGGTGCAGTTGAAGGCGTTGTTGACTTTGTTGTCGTATTCGTTGTAGTTGTCGCAGTAGTTGTTGGCGTTAAAAACGCTGTCGTCGTTGTTGCTGTGGAAGTGCTGGTCAATGCTGGTGATGTTGATGATATATTTGATGTCCCTGTTGTCAATGAAGTCCCCGTTGTCAATGAAATCTCTGCAACCGTTGACGGCGAAACCGTTGTCATAGTACCGTTAATCATGGGCGTAACAGTTGACCCAGAGGGCAGAGATGAAGTTGCTACAGAACCGGGATAAGTCGAAGATGAGTCAGTCATCGCTGACGTTTGGAATGTGGACTGCTCAGCGTCTGTTCTCGAAGAAGCAGGCGCCGTTGATGTCACGGCGAATGAGCTAGTTGCGGTAGGTGAGACGGTTGTGACCGAGTCGATTGTGCTGGTAAGTTCCTCCGCTGATGCGGTGGTGGAATTTCCTGATAGCGCGCTTGTTTCCGGTGCAGAGCCAGACACTGAAATTAAGAGAGATATGGTAATTATTGATTTAAATGGGAAAAAAGGAACAAGTAAAAAACCAAACGGGCTTAACACTTCCTAGTAAAAAGCTGGACTCCAAGGATAAGAATAAGATATGTCGATTTTCTTTATTTTCCATATTTTAAGTATAATTTTAAGCAAAAACCAGTGCATCGAATAAAAGCGGAAGGGTAGATAGATAGATAGATGGATGGGTAGATGAATAAATAGATAGATAATACACCTATGCATAAAGATTCATGGACAGGGTCCCAAATATAACGAAAAAAATTAGTGCTGGAGCTCGAGTAAGCTTTTTACTTACCTGCTGCATAAATACCATACCCTCCTCCGCCCAAAGCTGCCAGAAGGAGGACAATTCCCAAAATAATAAGAGCTACTCTCCCGGAGCACATACATTGCCGCTTGCCGTCCAAAGATTCGGCGTCGGTTTGATTTGTGTTCATGCGCGTATACAACGTGCGACTGCCGTCTAAAATGAGGAATAATAATAATAATAATAATAATAATAATAATAATAATAATAATATTTGATACTATGCGTTTATGAATTAATGTCATCGTATAACAATTGTTATTATTATTCTTCATTCTAACAATGCTTTTGTGATTGGTTCAATGGTGTATCACGAATATTATAAAAATCAATCGTTTTATTATTATTTTCATTATTATAATCATTATTATTGATTGTTATAGGCCCCTATCTGTTTTTTTCTCTATCAGTATGTCAACATTAACTCACTCTCTATCTCTCTCTCTCTCTCACACGCACACACACACACACACACCCTCTCTCTCTCTTCCTTTTTCATCTTTCTTTCTTTCTCTCTGAAACACACAAACACACTCTCTCTCTCTCTCTCTGTCTCTCTCTGCCTTCCTCTCTCTCTCTCTCTCTCTCTCTCCCTCTCTCTTTCTCTCTCTCTCTCATTCAAACCTCTGTCTCTTTCTCTGTCTCTCTCTCTTTCTGTTTGCGCCCATGTGTGTGTGTGTGAGTGTGTGTGTGTGTAAAATCCTCTACCTGGCTCTGATGACTCTCTTGGCCCAAGCGGAATTGGAATGAATAAATCCATGGATGTCTCCGAGGCCGTCCTGTCCTGGCGTCCATCCTCCACGTCTGCATCCGTTCTGAAATAATCCTGTTGTTTAAAACTGATTTTGTACGGATCCAACGGTTGCAGCTCAAATATATCCGGATCAGATCCGTTTTTGAGTTTTTCGGTAGAAGAGTTGCTATATCCACCAATACTGCTGTTCGAATTCGCTAGTCCGTTCACGTTGTTATTTTGTGGAGTCGTAGAAAAAGAAAGATTTCCGTTACTGCCTTGATTGTTCGTTTTTGGACGTTTGAATGTAGAAAAACCGCGAGGTTGTGATCTGTAACTGATGTTGAGAATATCAGAGTCATCCCCACTGTTAAAAACATTGTCATTTTCGCTCTTCTCTTGGGGTTTTGATTCATCTCTTTCATTCAGTACACTGAACTCCTTTCCATCATCATTCACTCCATCATCGCGAACGTCGTCTCCTTTTTGGGTATTTTCCTCTGCCTCTAGGTCTCCATCTTCAGGCACTGGCGACGGAGCTTCAGCGTTTTCTTTTTCTGTCTCTGCCATCTGAAATAAAATAAAATCAACTAAGAGTATATTCTTTGTATTGCACAAAAAACAATCAGCATTATTGATTTATTTCAGAAAAACTAAATGGACTGATTCCACAAATACCAAAAGTTAACCCTGCTTAGTGCACGATGTTGCAAAGAATTTGTAAACGAAACTGAATGTCTCAAAGCACGCCAATAAACTCATTAACCCGTCTTTAATAGAGACAAGAATGCACAATAACCGTTAACCTACATACCGTAGTTTTTTTTTTTTTTTTTTTTTTTTTTTACTTAAACCTCATGCACTAATACGTTTAAATATACTTCAAAAACGCTTATTTAGCCATTTAAACAGCTTAACCAAGACCTCAGAATGCTATAGACGGCATATCACATTTCTATTCCCGTAATTTTTCATTATGTCACGTGCACATTAAACGCAAGCTTATATTAGATGGAGTCGTGTGTACGGTATTCAATCAAATATAATTTCAAACACTTCTCTTTTTTTCCAAACATTTAATTATCCTAAAGATTATGGTAAGTATTTACTCCCGAATTAACGTATTTGCTCAAATATAATTCGGATCAGAATATTTTAATCAAATTGCTATGATCTTTTTTTCGGGGGGGGGGGGGCGTAGGGGGTACGAATAAACTTGTTCGAATTTTAAGGGTAATCACCGTAGTGAGAAAACCAGTATATCAGATTTCGAGATGAAGGACACATGTCGTTTATGCAATCCACATACTTGCTTCGTGTACACTGCAGGGGCTATATGAAACAACGGGTTGCATAGTTAACAGAACGATGAATCAAGTTACCAACGCTGAAGTGACAAACCACGCCCCTATCGAAATGACAAACCACGCCCATATATTTCATTGCAACAAAGACAGTAGTATTTAACATTTTAGAGCTACCTGACTCTAAAAGTAGTTACGCGAGAATAATTTAGACTATGCACAGCTCTGCTTCTTAGAGGCCAAAAAATATGTGTGGGTTGCGCTAAGCTTCCAGTTGGAGAAGGATCAGTTTTAGATAAAGCTAAAGAAAAAATACGCTTTACCAGATAAATAATGTCCCTTTTTTAGCTCGATTTACAGCAAAGATTTGTCACGAATAAGACATATTATATGAATATTTCTTTAAAAACTGTGACCCAAGTCGAGGGTGAAGAAAAACCCCGTTTAACGAGATTTGTTCGAAATTGCTCATCATTCGAGTGAAAAATGTTACGAGGAATGCGTTGTCTGTCTTTTATGGAAATATATGCAGTTATATAAACATTACTATTCCGTCTAGGACATTCTAGGGATGAACAACTTCACTAAAAATAATAAATAAAAAAATCATTGAAAAAGGTTTCTCTACTGGTACTGTTGTGCTGAATAATTGCGCAATATGGCACATAAAATATCCCCCATAAAAAGCCTATGGTGAAATACACGTTTTAATTGGGGGCTTGGATCCTTGGTTTTGTCATTTGAGGTACAGTGTCATAAGCGTTTTGATTCAGAGTTAGATCTGCCTGTGGATAACTGACAAGCTTTGGCAAATTCCCAGGTCAGTATCTTTTTATTTAATTTTATCTGCCCTGTTTTCGGAAAGATAAAGTCCACGTCATATTTATTTGAACAAGAATAGAACAAGAATGCCACAAAAGGCTCGACGCGTCGTTTTGTTCTCTCTATTAAATAAATATCACGGAGTCCCAACCACGCCGTATTCTGTTTATGAACTAAATAAAAGCACGCTGAAATATGTGATTCTTCATAACCACAATCTGAATATCGCGACTTAATAGATTTATTCACGCATTTTAAAATAGAAATGCTCGCTGCGACTAGTACGTGTTGCGCATAGATGTAATAAATCCAGGTTCTTTTGCATATATTCTTTTTTAAACTTGACATAGGTCCGATTAAAAGGGAAGTTACAGCTGAAATATTAATATAACCCACAACTTAGAAACTGGCGGGTACAGGGATTTGTTTGGAGGGGGGCAAGTATTAAAAATTTGCCACGACATATTTAAGTTAGTAGACACTGATAATTTCAATCTCATGTGTAGGGCACAATGATAGAATGGAATGGGGATTTGCTTGGTTTTGTTTCGTTTGGTTTGACTTTTTGTCTCTGTTTTTTGAGGAGAGAGGAGGAAGAAAGGAAAACTTCCGTAGCTAAGGCGTGTGTGCGTACGTTTCACTGTGTGTGTGTGTGTGCACGCGTTTGTGCGTGTGTGTGTGTGTGTGCTAGTGTGCGTGACACTGCGTGTGTCTTTGTGTGTGTTTGTTCGTTTGTGTGTGCGTGCGCATGCATGCGTGGATGGCGTTGCATGTCGCACACTACCCCCCCTCCCCCCGAATCCTCCATTGTTACATGTACACCTTTGTCAACCGTCTTTTTCCCAGCAAATCGGTGTCGGCCTCGTGTGCGTGGTCATTTCTATATACCTCGACAGCTTAGCGCAGCCTTTATTTACCCCTAATTTAGATGTCTCCATTACACGTTTGACTCATTGACACGGGAGCGTTTCGCTTAACCTGCGACGGCACGAAATGGGTCTGTCTGCACTTTAATGTTAATGGCATGTTTCGCACCTCTCTGTGTTTTATAGCTAACAGTGGAACATTGTCTCATTTATATGACACCCACTGCTGTGTACGATACAGGGGTGTATTAACCCATACCAATGTATATACCAGATCATCAGTTTCTGATGCACGAGTGAATTGACCATTAATTTGCAATACCTACATTATGTCCAACTTCTCGTGCAGTTCTCTTGGTAATAAGTTTAGTATTGTTTCTTATCCCTGTATGTTCTTGTTATATTAATATACTGGGGTAATCGAATTTGTTGGGACATAGACATAATAAAATGTTTTGAGTATTGAAAACAAACAGACAGGCAAGTAATTAAAGGAATAGGAGGATAAATGATAAATAATGAAATAATGAAAAGATACAAGACGGTCTCCCTAAAGATACTAGTAGGTATTACTCTTAGACATTTATTCTTTGTTGTGTATCATAAAAGGATTTACAAATAACAAGGTGAAGCAATGACTTCTTAGCAGTGCATGAAAAAAGTAAATTTCAAATCAATATCGGCTTTGGGGGACTAGCAGAATGTATAGCCCAGTGCAGACTTCACAACTGACTCATGCTGTTAATACATATAACACTGTCTGCGTATAGGCTATCTCCTTTTTTGCTTTTAATTGTATGATAAATAATATAGGCTAATGGTATTTCTTAAAAAGTGAAGAGGTTAAAATTTCATTTGGTAAGCGGAACGCCTGCAAGCTCTTGACTAATTCATAAATACTCCTGAATTTTTTTTAAAGATGTGTTAATGCACAATACAAATGTAGTGCATCGGGGTATATCACGTGTGCATGTATTATGAAAAGGTATTTTTAGAATGCCAAAATACATTATTTTGTACCCTACTGCAATATTAGTGTAACTTTATAATTCTAGTGGTGTTGATAACTAAGTAACATGTGGAAAGCTCTACTCTTTGCACAAGGAAGTAGATGATTACCCCATTCTTCCCTACAAACCCGGATTTGAGATCGACCCTTCATCCCTTCCAATACCCATATTCAGCGTATTCATTTGCAATTTAATTGGATCCCCGCAGCTAATATTGTTGTATTCATTTACAGTTTAATTTGACGTTATTTTAAATTTTGGGAAAACATGTGGGATTTCCCAAATGACATGTCTTTTTAGTTCTCAACATGTTTCTCCTTAAGCTCGTTGGGTATTTTGACATTATGTTTGTTTTTAATGGCTTTGGAATTTGCCAGTTGCAAAATGTTTTCATGAAGCCACGGACGTATTTACAAATATTAACAAATATAGCTCCCGTCAATACCAAAAAAGTATACACAAATATGTATCAGAAGTCAAAAGGGGAAAATGATAAAGAGAGTCCGTTCGGGGAACTAAGCGCACTCGCTGCACTTCCTTCTTCTCCACAATTGATAAACAGTGTTATGCGTGTACTTACATCATAAAACTTACCTCAATGTATTTCAGTATCTATCGTATCGTAAATGCAATGCTTTGAAATAATGTGAGGAAATGCCAGTACGGTGAATGTCATTTTTTTTTCTTTGTGTTTAATTTTTTTATCATTTTACATAAAGAACACACTGTTAATGCTATAACATGACACTTTAAAGTGATAAACACCATATTAGGCACAGAATGCTAAATTTTGATTAAAAAACATTTTCTTTCTTTTTGTTCATTCGTCACCAGAAGTATTGATGGATATTATATAAGTGGCAGGGCCTAAATATACTTGTCCCATCGATTTACTGATCTGTTTGTAAGACACAAATTGCGCGCGTGATGGCTCACATAAACGAAGTTCAAGATTAAGTTGTATGTGTACAGTATGACCCTTTGAGTGTCATTATAGACCAGTCGTCTTGTAATCACTAGGTTCACAAACTGGGTGTCACAGGTAAAGCCCCACAACTAGGACTGTGGCGATCTTATTCAAAGATGGGGGGGCACAGCCATGTTTTCCTTATCGAGTCCCCATTTATTTAGCTCACCCACGCACGAACACAAGCACGCACTCAAACACTTGCGCACAAGCTCACGCACACGTACAGGCTTGCGCGTTTATCCACACGCAGAAACGCGCGCACACGCACGCAGGCATACACACACACACACACACACACACGGAGATAAGACAGCTTGAAATAACTTGATCATTCTGACACTATACAAGATGCATCTGATGAATTTATATAACACAAAATATGATTAAAAAAACGCGAGGGCAGGATAGGGGGGTAAGGGCGGGCATATGGATTTCCCTTTCGACTTCTCTTTTTTTCTGGCAATTTGCAGTACTGTTTGTAAATAAGACCCTTGGCATAGGCGTTCGTTTATATCATTAAAACCGAGTACCTTAAAAGGATGACGGGGACAATAACAGTTTTATCTCAAATGACAAAATACAAAGACTGAAATTAAATGGGGAGCAATTTATAGCAAAACTCTTCCCGTCCCCGTTCGTTAGTATATTTGCTATTGCTAGCCACAAACCCATGATGACTTTAATGTTAACCATATTATCAACATACCTTTGGGTCAACCACAACTTAAAGTGGTGAGGCGTCCCTTGAATTACTGAGTCCTCAAAACATCGACGCGTTTGGAGAGACGCAGCATATAGTTAACAAACATATAAGACACGATGATTAATAGCGTTTATGTCACAGCGTTACGCAGTTGCTGAATTGTTGAATCCTTAAATCCCAGCTTAAACAATCGTGTTCACGTGCCTTCCTTTATGCCTTACGGGAAATAAATGTTACTATGTCCATGAGCATAACTTAGTCACTCAGCACCGCCATAACTGTGATATATGGTGTCTCAGGTTCGCCCATTGTTTATATACGGTTACACATACACCGAGTCCCTGAAAAACGTTGTGTCATATCTCGCCTTATGTTCCGATTTGACGGGCCACCAGAGGGTGCTTTTTTGAGATCACTGTTGACTTAAAGCAGTCTCGTTGTTTGTTGTTATACAAATAACTCAGTGATAGCAGTGGACTTGATAAGGCGCTTGCCAATGCACGTCCGCATTCCAGTGTGTTTCTCCTGCCCTTGTTTAAAAAGTTTGACAGAATCCTCCGTGTCTTCGAAGTTATAAGATAGATCAATGCTTGTGTAGTCTAGACTTCGCTGTGACAATCTGTACTACAGCCAGTGTATCAAAGCAAAGAATGAGAAAAATACACCGTCCGTTTCTAGTAATATATCGTTTTTACTGTATCGTATAATATTATAGAAAAAAAACGAACTGGTGTTCTTTCTTTTGGATGTCTTCAACAATAGTACTGAGTATTTCCACCGACTATATACCCTAGAAATTTTATGCTGTAGTCACAGTAAGAAAAATGCCCTGAGTCACAGACAGACAAATATTCTCAAGGGTTACGACAGGCCGCTTATGTATGGCCTTTACTCCTTTTTATGTGGTTGTCGTGTTGTGACGTTCAAGATCGGGGTTAGGGCTTATATGGCTTTGTTTTAAAACCTCGGTTCCGTGCGTGCGGTGCATGAAGTATCTCAGTCGTATTTGGCCTAGTATTGTTAGTGCCCGTAGTACTCTATGATAGCTGCAGCGTCATTAAAGTTTAATTAATCACTGTTTTGATTCACCCCAGCAGTTTTATAGTTCAGGTTTCTTTCTCTGGGCTTAATTCTAGTGATAAAATATACTCTCTCTCTCTCTCTGTAGTTCACTCTACTACTTTACGCACTGCTGTCAGCAACGGTTCACTCTGTTAGTAAAATGACAATGCAGAGTTCCATAACTCTTCTTTTAATTTTAGCAGATGGATATATAGGTTGCTGTCTGAAAGAGAAAGTCGCCAATAAAAGTGAATCAGGCTAAGGATTGTTGTGTGTACACATTTCTAGGTAAATAAATAAATAAATAAATAAATAAAAGTTGCTTCTAAAACCACAATTGACCAATCGCTCCAACTTATTGTTACCTGGATGCCATATCGTTGATCTGGCAACGTCACTTAAAAAGTTTGCACATCAGTGCAGTATTGAACACTATTGAATACTATAATCAAACTTTTGTGACTACTTCAGCTCACTGCCCCCAATATTTTAACACGGATATTGTCCATTACCTCAATGACACGCCAATAACCTTCCAATTCACAAGTTAATACCCGGGCAAGTTAATAACGATATGCCTACCTGTCCTCTGTAACTGAGTAATTGACATTCTGTGTCACAGCGAGGGCGAAACCGAATTAGAAACCGTCCTTGTATCTGGGCCGAGCATCTCACTGGCGAGATTTTAGCCTATCTATATATCACAGGTTCGATTTCTGCCAGTGCCTAACCTCACTATGAAAGCCTTATCACGACCTTCTTATCGCTTCGCGTCAAGTCAAACAAGCACGGTGACTTACAGATAAGACTACGTTGGAGTTTTCGGCGTACGCGCCAGTCCCACGCTTTCACGCTGAAGTCTGGGGTCATTAGTTTCATCTAATGTTCGTGCCACTTTCCCAGGCTCAGCACAGGTCGTCTGCGGGAATGTTGCGACCAATGATGTCTCTTGGACACGCGATTCTGTTTAGATGAAAGTGTCTTTATTCAGTTATTGGCAAGTCCTCTCAACCGTCGTCTTGTGCTCATATTAACTCGTTAATTTTATTGCTCATAGAGTTAGTGGGTTCATTTCCTCTCCACTGGCGTGCATTGGTTTTCCGGAATTTTACTGAGCATTTAAATGTACGGTGTCAATCTCCGCGGTGGGGTCTCGATGTGGCGGATTATCGCATTGTCAGATGTCAAATAAAAAGTTTCCACACACACACACACACACAAACACACATACACTCGTACTCGCGCGCGCACGCTCACGCATACACGCACACATAGATTTATGGGGTTGATCTTTGAATTATCAAAATAAAAATTACACCACTAATTACTCTTAGGAATGATGAAATTAATAATAATAATAATAATAATAATAATAATAATAATAATAATAATAATAATGTGTTAACTCACCAGTAAGGTTGTTTTAGAACGCATGTGCATTCCCCAGTATCCAAGAGTTGTCACAATTTTGGCATGCATTGCTGTTTATTTATAAAACTTCCTGGTCTTTTGGATGAACATTGTGTGTACACGTGTTTATTTCGTATGGGAAGGATGTTTGTTTAACCAGGAAGGTTTTTATGCCAAATCTGCTCAATATTGGTTTTATAGGAGCAATGATAACCCGCAAAGTCACCCACACACACCCAAACACACACACACACACACACACACACACACACACAGAGAGAGAGAGAGAGAGAGAGAGAGAGAGAGAGAGAGAGAGAGAGAGAGAGAGAGAGAGAGAGAGAGTGAAGGGAGTACTAGATATTTTTTATNGTTAACAGTGGAACAATGTCTCACTTATATGACACCCAGTGCTGTGTCCGATACAAGGGTGTATTAACCCATACCAATGTATATAGCCGATCATCAGTGTCTGCTACACGAGTGAACTGACCATTTGCAATACCTACATTATGTCCAACTTCTCGTGCAGTTCTCTTGGTAATAAGTTTAGTATTGTTTCTTATCCCTGTATGTTCTCGTTATATTAATATACTGGGGTTATCGAATTTGTTGGGACATAGACATAATCAAATATTTTGAGTATTGAAAACAAACAGACAGGCAACTAATTAAAGGAATAGGAGGATAAATGATAAATAATGAAATAATGAAAAGATACAAGACGGTCTCCCTAAAGATACTTGTAGCTATTACCCTTAGACATTTATTCTTTGTTGTGTATCATAAAAGGATTTACAAATAACAAGGTGAAGCAATGACTTCTTAGCAGTGCATGAAAAAAGTAAATTTCAAATCAATATCGGCTTTGGGGGACTAGCAGAATGTATAGCCCAGTGCAGACTTCACAACTGACTCATGCTGTTAATACATATAACACTGTCTGCGTATAGGCTATCTCCTTTTTTGCTTTTAATTGTATAATAAATAATATAGGCTAATGGTATTTCTTAAAAAGTGAAGAGGTTAAAATTTCATTTGGTAAGCGGAACGCCTGCAAGCTCTTGACTAATTCACAAATACTCCTGAATTTTTTTTAAAGATGTGTTTATGCACAATACAAATGTAGGGATCGGGGTACATCACGTGTGCATGTATTATGAAAAGGTATAATATTTTTAAAATGCCAAAATATATCATATTGTATTCTACTGCCATGTTGGTGTAAATTTATAATTCTAGTAGTGTTGATATCTAAATAACATGTGGAAAGCTCTACTCTTTGCACAAGGAAGTAGATGATTACCCCATTCTTCCCTACAAACCCGGATTTGAGATCGACCCTTCATCCCTTCCAATACCCGTATTCAGCGTATTCATTTGCAATTTAATTGGATCCCCGCCGCTAACATTGTTGTATTCATTTACAGTTTAATTTGACGTTATTTTAATTTTTGGGTAAACATGTGGGATTTCCCATATGACATGTCGTTTCAGTTCTCAACATGTTTCTCCTTAAGTTCGTTGGGAATTTTGACATTATGTTTATTTTTAATGGCTTTGGAATTTGCCAGTTGCAAAATGTTTCCCTGAAACTTCGGACGTATTTACAAATATTAACAAATATAGCTCCCGCCATTACCAAAAAAAAGTAAACACAAATATGTATCAGAAGTCAAAAGGGGAAAATGATAAAGAGAGTCCGTTCGGGGAACTAAGCGCACTCGCTGCACTTCCTTCTTCTCCACAATTGATAAACAGTGTTATGCGTGTACTTACATCGTAAAACTTACCTCAGTATATTTCAGTATCTATCGTATCGTAAATGAAATGCTTTGAAATAATGTGAGGAAATGCCAGTACGGTGAATGTCATTTTTTTTCTTTGTGTTTAATTTTTTTATCATTTTACACAAAGAACACACTGTTAATGCTATAACATGACACCTTAAAGTGATAAACACCATATTAGGCACAGAATGCTAAATTTTGATTAAAAAACATTTTCTTTCTTTTTGATCATTCGTCACCAGAAGTATTGATGGATATTATATAAGTGGCAGGGCCTAAATATACTTGTCCCATCGATTTACTGATCTGTTTGTAAGACACAAATTGCACGCGTGATGGTTCACATAAACGAAGTTCAAGATTAAGTTGTATGTGTACAGTATGACCCTTTGAGTGTCATTATAGACCAGTCGTCTTGTAATCACTAGGTTCACAAACTGGGTGTCACAGGTAAAGCCCCACAACTAGTACTGCGACGATCTTATTCAAAGATGGGGGGGCACAGCCATGTTTTCCTTATCGGGTCCCCATTTATTTAGCTCACCCACGCACGAACACAAGCGCGCACTCAAACACTTGCGCACAAGCTCACGCACACGTACAGGCTTGCGCGTTTATCCACACGCAGAAACGCGCGCACACGCACGCAGGCATACACACACACACACACACACACACACACACACACACACACACGGAGATAAGACAGCTTTAAATAATTTGATCATTCTGACACTATACGAGATGCATCTGATGAATTTATATAACACAAAATATGATTAAAAAAAAAAAAAAAACGCGAGGGCAGGAGAGGGGGGTAAGGGCAGGCATATGAATTTCCCTCTCAACTTCTCTTTTTTTTTCTGGCAATTTGCAGTACTGTTTGTAAATAAGACCCTTGGCATAAGCGTTCGTTTATATCATTAAAACCGACTACCTTAAAAGGATGACGGGGACAATAACAGTTTTATCTCAAATGACAAAATACAAAGACTGAAATTAAATGGGGAGCAATTTATAGCAAAACTCTTCCCGTCCCCGTTCGTTAGTATATTTGCTATTGCTAGCCACAAACCCATGATGACTTTAATGTTAACCATATTATCAACATACCTTTGGGTCAACCACAACTTAAAGTGGTGAGGCGTCCCTTGAATTACTGAGTCCTCAAAACATCGACGCGTTTGGAGAGACGCAGCATATAGTTAACAAACATATAAGACACGATGATTAATAGCGTTTATGTCACAGCGTTACGCAGTGGCTGAATTGTTGAATCCTTAAATCCCAGCTTAAACAATCGTGTTCACGTGCCTTCCTTTATGCCTTACGGGAAATAAATGTTACTATGTCCATGAGCATAACTTAGTCACTCAGCACCGCCATAACTGTGATATATTGGTGTCTCAGGTTCGCCTATTGTTTATATACGGTTACACATACACCGAGTCCCTGAAAAACGTTGTGTCATATCTCGCCTTATGTTCCGATTTGACGGGCCACCAGAGGGTGCTTTTTTAAGATCACTGTTGACTTAAAGCAGTCTCGTTGTTTGTTGTTATACAAATAACTCAGTGATAGCAGTGGACTTGATAAGGCGCTTGCCAATGCACGTCCGCATTCCAGTGTGTTTCTCCTGCCCTTGTTTAAAAAGTTTGACAGAATCCTCCGTGTCTTCGAAGTTATAAGATAGATCAATGCTTGTGTAGTCTAGACTTCGCTGTGACAATCTGTACTACAGCCAGTGTATCAAAGCAAAGAATGAGAAAAATACACCGTCCGTTTCTAGTAATATATCGTTTTTACTGTATCGTATAATACTATAGAAAAAAACGAACTGGTGTTCTTTCTTTTGGATGTCTTCAACAATAGTACTGACTGTTTCCACCGCCTATATACCCCGGAAATTTTATGCTGTAGTCACAGTAAGAAAAATGCCCTGAGTCACAGACAGACAAATATTCTCAAGGGTTACGACAGGCCGCTTATGTATGGCCTTTACTCCTTTTTATGTGGTTGTCGTGTTGTGACGTTCAAGATCGGGGTTAGGGCTTATATGGCTTTGTTTTAAAACCTCGGTTCCGTGCGTGCGGTGCATGAAGTACCTCAATCGTATTTGGCCTAGTATTGCTAGTGCCTGTAGTACTCTATGATAGCTGCAGCGTCATTAAAGTTTAATTAATCACTGTTTTGATTCACCCCAGCAGTTTTATAGTTGGATTGAAATTCAGGTTTCTTTCTCTGGGCTTAATTCTAGTGATAAAATATACTCTCTATCTCTCTCTGTGTGTAGTTCACTCTACTTTGCGCACTGCTGTCAGCGAATATTCACTTTACCAGCCAAATGAGTCAAATGAAGATGCGGAGTTCCATAACTCTTCTTTGAATTTTAGCAGATGAATATATAAACTGCTGTCTGAAAGAGAAAGTCGCGAATAAATGTGAATCAGGTTAAGGGTTGTTGAGTGTACACGTTTTTAAACAAACAAACAAACAAACAAAAATAAATAAATAAATAAAAGTTGCTTCTAAAACTACAGTTGACCAAGCGCTGCAAATTGTTACCTGGATGACTTCTCGTCAATCTAGCAATGTCACTAAGAATTTCTGCGCATCCGTGCTCTTTAGAAAACTATAGATCTCGAGATCGCCTCCAAAATTTTATGACTGCTTCAGATCAATCCCCTTTACATCTTAACACGGGTGTTGTCCATTAACTTCCTGAGACACCTGTAACCGCTTCCAATTCACAAGTTTATACCGGAGCAAGTTAATAACAATATGCCTACCTGTCCTCTGTAACTGAGTAATTGACATTCTGTGTCACAGCGAGGGCGAAACCGAATTAGAAACCGTCCTTGTATCTGGGCCGAGCATCTCACTGGCGAGATTTTAGCCTATCTATATATCATAGGTTCGATTTCTGCCAGTGCCAACCCTCACTATGAAAGCCTTATCACGACCTTCTTATCGCTTCGCGTCAAGTCAAACAAGCACGGTGACTTACAGATAAGACTACGTTGGAGTTTTCGGCGTACGCGCCAGTCCCACGCTTTCACGCTGAAGTCTGGGGTCATTAGTTTCATCTAATGTTCGTGCCACTTTCCCAGGCTCAGCACAGGTCGTCTGCGGGAATGTTGCGACCAATGATGTCTCTTGGACACGCGATTCTGTTTAGATGAAAGTGTCTTTATTCAGTTATTGGCAAGTCCTCTCAAACGTCGTCTTGTGCTCATATTAACTCGTTAATTTTATTGCTCATAGAGTTATATAGTGGGTTCATTTCCTCTCCGCTGGCGTGCGTTGGTTTTCTGGAATTTTACTGAGCATTTAAATGTACGGTGTCAATCTCCGTAATGGGGTCTCGTTGTGGCGGATGATCGCATTGTTAGATGTCAAATACACACACACACACACACACACGTACTCGCGTGTATATCCCATAAAGATATGGGGTTGATCTTTGAATTATCAAAATAAAAATTACACCACTAACTACTCTTAGGAATGATGAAATTAATAATAATAATAATAATAATAATAATAATGTGTTAACTCAACAGAAAGGTTATGTTTTAAAACGCATGTGCATTCCCCAGTATCCAAGAGTTGTCACAATTTTGGCATGCATTGCTGTTTATTTATAAAACTTCCTGGTCTTTTGGATGAACATTGTGTGTACACGTGTTTATTTCGTATGGGAAGGATGTTTGTTTAACCAGGAAGGTTTTTATGCCAAATCTGCTCAATATTGGTTTTATAGGAGCAATGATAACCCGCAAAGACACCCAAACACACACACACACACACACACACACAGAGAGAGAGAGAGAGAGAGAGAGAGAGAGAGAGAGAGAGAGAGTGGAAGGAGTACTGGTTATCTTTTATCAACGTCAGCTTTCATATTCTATAGATTTCTGACAGACCACAGCTGAGATTTTATGCTGTCATGAATAATGCAAAATATCATTGGCATCTCTAAATCACTCAGAATAACCATATATATATATATATATATATATATATATATATATATATATTAAAAATGAAAACGTTTTTCCTGTACGAGTAATATTATATATAATAAAAGAAAAAGAAGAACAGCAACTTTCTTGCCCCGACCGGTTTCTTTCTTTCTTCAGGGGGTTTTGTTTATTTGTTACTAGGTGATGTCATAAAGGCTTAAATGTGACGTCTTTAACAATGAGTGTTTAATTGTTACTTTTACCAATGCAATATATATATATATACAAAATATAGAATATAGTATACAGCAGCCTTATCAGTAGGCATGGCACTTGTGTCTTTCACGGGGATACCAGCATTTCCAATCATTAATGTAAAACCATATGATCCATTTGAATAATTTAAACGACGAGTGTGCTGTGGGATATGTTGTGATCTATATGCCTGAAATTTTACCAAATATGCTTCCATCGAGGCAGATAGCGTTGATTCTTCTCGTGCTTGGGATAGTGACCATGCTTCTTAATATGTCGCTCATTCTGAACTACTGGTTCAAACACAAGGTGGTCTTTAAGTTGAATTTATTTAGGGCATCACCAGGACATGGTATGGATGCGAGAAGACTTTCTTTGCGGATCAAGAACGATCTTGAATCTAAACAAAACGTAACGAAATCTGCAAAGTCTAGGGATGTCACCGAGCACCGGATAAGTTCACAAACGGACAAGAAAACGGATATTAAAACGGATAAGAAAATGGACTCAAAAACGGACAGCCAAGTAGGTTTCAAAACGAATAAAATGAATGCTTCGAGAACTTCGGACTCGGGAATGAGCTTGAAAACGGATCAAGAAGATACCGCAGGATTAAAATTAAACATTATAATAGGATCGAACCAAGTAAGCAAAAACCAGTCCACGAACACCAACGCGTGTCTCGGGTTAAAATCCCCCACGAAATTTACAGACTCCCACTGGGTGCCGCTGTCAGATCAGTTCCCCGAAGATTTTGCTTATTCGGCTTACCTAGATGGTAGAAACGGAGAGAGAATAGTTCGAGTCGTGGCATTTTTGCCAAGTACAAATCTTATGTACTGCCACATTTGGTTGCGGGATTCAAGCACGACGATGGGCAAAAACGTAGAGACAGTTCGAGCCGGGAAAGCTTATATATTCAGAGCCTGTGCGCATAACATGTAAGTGTTGATAGGGTGGATATGTGAAATGTTCGTGTTTTTTAGAATCATATGTATTATTATTATTATTATTATTATTATTATTATTATTGTTGTTGTTGTTTGTATTTCTGAATTAAGTTGGCGAATGAAATGAGAAAAAGAGAAGTAAGAGTAGTAGTATGGTAGAAGTATAGTTTGATGATGAGTGGGCATTTATGAGTGTTTGCATTTTTTTATTTACTGATCTGCTTATGCGTGCTCTTGCATGAATTAGGTAGGTGCGTACGTACTTTTTTCTTTTTCTTTGAATCTATGCCGCATGTGCGTGTGTGTGTGTGTGTGTGAGAGAGAGAGAGAGAGAGAGAGAGAGAGAGGCTGCAAATGTCACCTGTGGTCATTATATGTAATGGTCAACGGGCTATACGGTCCGTAGTGCCAGTAGATCACCTTTTGAAATCGAGACCCCGAAAATACCATACAAATCGCATCCAACATTCCTGTAACAGACTGCAAGTGCACCCAGCTGTTGTCAGAGAGTACCAGTAGATTACCGTTCCTGCCACACCGTCCAGAGAAAGAAATGGGGAGGGGGGGAGAAGTACGTGGTTCATTTTCGACGTATTCAGTTTTATCTTTCAGGATCCCACCGGCATTGTTAAATTGCAGAGTGAACTCAAATTCAACGCCTTACGCAGTTTCCATCGTAAAGGACCCCTGCCATTCACCCAGCAGCGCCATCAATGTGCAGGACGCGCGCGTCTTGAGGAATTCGCCGCCCCCTGGTGACGACAGCTTCGGCGTGTGCGTTAAGCCTCTTCACGGGGCGAAACAGAGCACTAGCAGGCTGGTTGAATTTATAGAGGTAAACCGAATGTTTGGCGCTCAACATATAACGCTGTATGATTTTAATGCCAACAAAACGGCAATAGGACCCATTTTAGACGCATACCAAAAAGACGGAACGCTCTCATTGGTGCCTTGGAATTTTCCGGCGACCGCGCAGCGCATATTGACAAAGAGAAACACGGCGTTCATATACTGGGTTATAGAATGTGGCCAACTCGCTGCTACGACAGATTGCTTGTACAGAAACATGAATAGGTTTCAATACTTGGCCGTTGTGGACATGGACGAATTCCTCACCCCTAGGGCCAACAGCTCCTGGAGGGACCTTATCAAAATCCTCCCACAAAACGCCGGTGCGTATCTCTTCCAGAATAAATTCTTCCGCATGGACTGGATGGGGCGGCAAGAGATCGCCAAAAATCACGCAGCTCTCAATGACTCTCGTGCTGCTAAATTCAACCCCAAGTCCCTCTCGGTGACCAAGTCGGAATACGTTGGAGAGGTATACAGACCTAAGTATATACTTCGCACGGAGGCGGCCTATGCGACCAGGGTGCATCGGCCCCGGCTGTTCCCCTCGTGGGTGGAGTATGTGGTGCCTAAGCACCTTGGGTTGAGTCACCATTACCGGAATGCGGGGCGGTCAAATCGCCATCTTAAGGGGCATCCGGTCGAAAAGGACACCTACATGTGGAAATATAAGGACGAACTTCTAACTAGAATGGAGAGGGTGTTTAATAGAACTGGTGCACTTGTTACAGACTGATATACTCGAATATACGGGGTTCTTATGTCTATTAATTAATTTATTAATTTATGTATTTATTTATTTATTTATTGTCATAAATCCCAATGTTCGATTCTGATTAGTCATATGTTAAAGAACATACTACGTGCCTTTACCATTACAAAAGGTGCCACTATAAAATTCCCGACTTCTTTCTTCGTTACTGGAGAAACTCATAAATTAAAATCCAAGGACTCGGAAACTGGATAATATAGATGTTATATTGTCAACGGCTTTTGACAGTGTATACCTTGCAAGTGGCGATTAATTGAAAGTTGAATTCCTAGGTAGGATTTGATGTAAAAGGCTGAAAAAAGGTCTAATGCCGAATGTATGAACTTTAGTAGAGGGACTCCATTAATTTGCGTTTACGACTGAAATCATTTTTAATTTGACTGTAACAATTTATAATCGGTAGGTTTAATTGTACTTAATGTGATAAATGCTTGTGTGTTTAAGGAACTGCTGGTAGTTTTACTGTCAGTTTAGAGAACCTGAACACATGGTTGGGCTGGATAGGAAGGGTTTTGACTGGACTGGAAGCACGTTTTTTTTTTTTTTCAAGCCCAAAGATATGTCGAGCTAGCTGTCAAAAAATTGAAGTGTATGTTCCCTGGTCTTGCCTAACGAATTATAGTCAAATCTGCCCCCCCTCCTCCTCCTCCAGTCGTCGGGTCTAAGATTTTCGAAACGTGACTTTACAGTCCTGAAAGGGCCAAAGGTTTCTATCAGCTGAGCTACGAATCCTTCAGGTCTTATACCGGTAGCTCAGCCATCACGTTGCAGTCATTTTTATGGACATGTAGTTTGTCAGGACAAACAGCCATCACTTGTGCGCGTCGACTTCCCTATTTTTTCGTAAAAACCATAAAAATAGTGAGCAAAATGTTCATAAGCTTGGTAGTTTGATCACAGATGATAATTATATTGCACAAGCTAACAACTCACGTCAGTCTGAAGAAGGACCGCATCTAAGTTGGCCACAAAATAATGGTATGGTAAATGTTTTCAGCTTATGCTACAATGTAAATAATTATCATCTATGAATAAAAATAGTGTTACTTATTATTCTCAAACTTACTATAATGACCCGATTCAATGGGTTAAATACAGCTATAGGTAAAGAACGACCTGATCCCATTATTTGTCTTATTTTTTATTCATGTTGTACGAAATTGTCAGCGCAATCAACATTAACTGACTGAACCCTGAGATCTACAAAGTCAATGTCTCAGCTGAGCTTGTTGTTGGAGGTGCGCCGGATTTTATGGGTAACCGTTTAAACAACTCACAGTGTAGCAAAGATTTGCCAAAGGCGATGTAGCAGGTGCTTGAATTAAAATTTACGTTGGCGCAAACCGTTCCCAACACTATAATAATAATAATAATAATAATAATAATAATAATAATAATAATAATAATAATAATAATAATAATAATAATAATAATAATAAAGGTTTGTTCAAAACCCGCTTCAAATTTGTCTCAGTATCCGCACAGTACCGAAATAATTATATTCATAAACTTGGTATATTATAAATAAGTAAAAGATAGATTTCCGGCAGATAATAAATAAAAAATAACAAAGGGAGAGGACAAGTGTTTAAAAAATGTCGAGCAGGTGCCCCTTAATGAAGAATATACTTGTCATCTGATAAATGCGTTTCTGACTTTTATGTACTCAAAAACCACACGCTGTTTCATTTGATCTTACACAAAACCGAACTTTTCCCACCTAGGATGATTAAGCCTCCAGCTGTTACAAAACCTTATGTTCCAATACCATCGCTACTGTACGACTTGCCTCATGTCATTTTAACACAGGCGATGAACACACCGAGACTAGGATGTGAAAGCGTGAAAAACTTATCTCTGTAAAACATTTACTGAAGAAATCATCGAAAAAACGGAAATTATGCGAAGCGAAACCATCGTGTCATTAGTAGTGTTGTGCTGCTTTCTCGTGATCTTTGCCAATTGTGTTACAGCGGCAGAGCTTAAAACACATCAGTTAGGTAAGTGTCAACATGCACTGAATTAGTGTTTTGTTAATATATACTAAAAGTTAAAACCATCTTTTGGCCTAAAGATCTTTTATTAATCTGCTCCTTGGGCGTTTTAGCATATGGTTGTATGCAATGAACTATAGAGTGAATAAAAAATGATAACATTAAAATGTTATGAAGACAGTTGTCTTTCGTTTTTTATCTTTACCACTCAAGTCTAGTAGACAGTTCTGATAGAATGGCATAATTATTCTTGCCTATAATGTTATCACGTGTTATCAATCGGAAAATACCATTTTTATTTATTTATTTATTTATTTATTTATTTATTTATGTCAAACTTCATTTAAAGAGAGGTAAGCATGTTAAAGGCAAGCTTATCTCCCACGTGGTCCTCTGCGAATAGCCCCAATTATTCAGCAGTGCTGGTCTTTTTATTTATTTATTTATATATTTATTTATTTATCGTTAAACCAATATGCTTGCTTATTGTATTTCTTATATTCCAGGTTTTGCTCAATTTGAATGCTTTTCCTGCTACAGTCGGTCCTCAGCATGTGGTAGTAGAATGGATGCAGAATCAATGGCTGTGGCCTCCAAACAGAAATGCAGAAGTAAATGCTTTCTTAGGATCGATGGTCCAAGTGAGTTTTAAAACTTCGTTTAAATGATTTTTTTTCTTCATCTGGTTGTGATACATGTATCAACGATTAGGAAACTTCACACTATTATATATACGAAACGGATTGCAACATCTAATTTTAAGCACAAATGAATCGCCTTTTTTTTTTTTTTTGTCTTTATTACCACGCAGGATGTGACTACCATGCTGTACTTTTATGAGCTAACAACATTCAATTTTAATTGCACACCAATTACTGAAGAAGTACCCTCGGCAACGTTATTCCAATCAATACGGTGCACAGGTTTATATGTCATTTAATGCAGCAGCTTGAGCCAATTCAAGTGCTTTCAACTTTAGACGTCTAAGTTAGTACCAGTAAGTTCGAATTTACACACCCAGTACCAGCTGTTGACAAGATTTTCTTTCATCTGTCTCAGCCTTCTAGCAGCATCTGTTCAGCCTCTACCCAGCATATTTTCTCTCGACATGATCGACCCGATAAATTGCGCCTTTTTGTTTACTCATTTTTTGCCAAGAAATTTGAGACTGAATGTTAATTTTGATATTTATTACAGGGGTTAAATATTTTGTCGTCGTATATCTAAAATTATTGTCATTGATAAAAAAAAAATTCAACTGGGACAAAATGTAAGTGAATAAAAGAAAGAAAGAAAGAAAGAAAGAAAAATAAAACAGCAAAACCATCGTAATATCAATGAATGCGAGTCCATGAATTTCAGTAACGCTCACTTGGGGGCGCTACTTGACGGCGACTCCCTGTTTGTCTTCAGACTCATGGTGTCTCCACCATGTTTGCGCAGACATGGCAAGACGTGAAATATGGGCATGTGTCAATGTGTTAACTGCATGTAAATACATCTGTTGCCAGATACAAGATTATGGCAACGGTGACAAACGACATATATGCCCTTCTTGTCTCACCACACATAATCTACATAAAGCATTAAGTCAGAACGCCCAGCACAAGAAGAAAAACTTTGCAGCTGTTTTGTAAGTCCTACTTATATGTGCATGTAGCATAAAGAAGTATAAAATGCAGTCATTCTATTTAGTCAATCTTGCATTATTATTATTATTATTATTATTATTATTATTATTATTGGCTATTCAAGTCCAAAGTTCTGGAAATTTATTATCGCTATTATTTTTATTTTTTAATTATTATTCTACATGTAGTTAAATCCATAAATATTATTTCATTTTAGCCGTGTACAGGGATTGTTTTGACGGCTGGATAGGCGGGATGGTGGACAGCAGCTATAACGGCTGTAGAACACAGTTCCTCCAAGGCAGGTCTATGGAATGGTGCTTCTGCGAGGGGCATCTCTGCAACGGGGCCACGCGAGAGGACTTGGCGAAAATCTTCCGCCAGGTGGAAGCACCTTTTAACATTTTTACTCAAGAAACGACTAAATCACAGCCAGAAGTGCCGGATACAATTGAGTACGGTTCAAAGTCACAGGAGCGAGAGGGAAAATACTCTGATGACCGCGAGCAAGATGGGGACGGTTTGCCAAAACGTGGCTCGAAAACGAATGAATACAACACGGTGTCCAAAGCTGTCGAATCCGCTGCACAAGCACCGGAGAAAACAATACAAAAAGTCGTTGGAGAGGAAGAAGAAAGGTCGGACGATGAACCGCAAGCGGACTTCCCGAATAGCTTCGATCAACTAAGCCGTTACGTCGCTACGCCACGTGCGATCCCCGAGATCAAGAACGACCGAGAAAGCGCGTCTCATTTAATAGAAGACGGGGAGTTCGTAGAGGAGGGGTATAACGACGGTGTGCCCTTTTCAGTGGACATCAGTGACAGAAACAACCGACCGTCATTTCAGCCCGTCGAAGTGTCATATTCTGAAGGTAATTAAAAAGGCTCTGTCACAACTGTATTGAGGCCACTTCGAGAATGAATATTGGCACCCTTTCACAATAGTGAAAAGTGTGGGAGTATGGTGGGAGCGGGCCAAATTTGTATTATAACAGGTTCTGTAACTTTATATAGCATTGTATTTACCTCGACTAATGTTTTGATAATCGATCAATTCAGTTGGCCCATTTTATTCATTTCTTTTAGTTGAAATCTCTATGTTTACAGGTATTAGTTGTTACGAATGTACCAGTGGTTCGCAATCGTGTGGTGAGCGCGTGTATGAAGGAGGGTTCCTCTCCAAGACAGCCTGCAGGACCAAGTGCTACACTAGAAGCGAAAATGGAAGTAAGCACTGTGCATCAGTATATCTATAATATATTGTTGTCACTTATGTAAACGTTTTGTTGGTAAACAGCCTGTTCTTTTTGATAGCTTATTAAAAATAATATCGATTGAGGCGACGTTTTACGTTGTATTAATCTATTCGTATAGGCCTACTGCATTTATTTATTTATTTATTTATTTATTTATTTGGAACATATATTGAAAAATCTCAATACACAACATGTCCCACCATTTTATACCGGCTCGTCACATTCAGTCAGAAATAAAACTCTTCGTTTCAAGACATATTCAGAGGGTGTTTCGACGGATGGATCGGCAGTGTGGTCCACTCGGACTACATCGGCTGCCAAAAACAGTCATACCGCAGCACAGATGTCACGTGGTGTTTCTGCGGGACTGATTTGTGTAATGGCCAGAGCATAGAGCAGTTAGGAAGACGTTTAAACCCCACGTACATAGGCATAAATACTGAACACAGGCATGGATACATTGGAAAGGACAGGATCTCTTATCAAGAAGGGTCGAGGGAATTTAATCACCAAAAGAACATAGAACCTTCATATAACAGACGTCTGTATGGTGTTGACCCCATCCCAATGTATGCAAAACCAACGAAGACAGGTAAGTGAGCTTACAGTATATTTGCATATTTTTTTGTTTTTTCTTATTTGTTTTTCCTCATTTCTTCTTTCTTTTGCTTTGGTTTGAATTCTGTTTTGGTTTAAGCAGTGATAGGTTTTAAAAACTACAACTTAACTGCAGTTTTCATGCACATGTTCCCGCGTCCTGGTACATGGTAATTCAACAATTATTATGTATTTGTAGTTGAAAAGTAGGTACAAATCAACAAAAATGTGCTCGTTTGTTTATTAAAAAATTATATTTCTCTATTTCTCAACAGAGGTCAATCCGTTGAACGAAGACTCTAAGTTCATCAGACTGCGAAGCGCCTGCTATGGGAAAGCAGACGGGCCCCACTCGGACCCACTCGACTGCTCCGCCTTCATTCACTGCTCACACGGCGTCGGCTATAAGAAGTATTGCCCGCCAGGAACCGCATGGGACAATCGCCTGAAACACTGTAATTTTTCAAGGAGAGTTTCGCCTCCGTGCGAGGCGCCATATCAGTGAATGTGTCCTCATAGTTGGTATTGGGCAGTTGTTGATTTATTGTTCATTGGTCGTAGGCCGTTATAAATTAACACGAGGGATGTTTGAGCGGTCTATGTAGACCAACCTCAAGCACGAAAACTTTGTCGTCTTTTGAAACTCTAAAATGGCCGGTCAAAGTAAAAAAAAAGACCAGGAACATAAAGTGGACATTAATTTATTGTTTGGTAAGCTTGATGATGATGGAATAAGATGAAATTATAATCTCCAGTGCAAGTTCTTGATGGGAATTTTGTATATATTGCCAAAACCGAACCAGACGCTACAGAGATCAAAGGTAATTTTTATTTGCACCTTAGAAAGAAGTTCTATTTATTTCAAAGAACATATGTGCAATCGAGTTAACAGCTATTTATTATCGCTATTATTTTTTTTTTTAATTTTCATTCTAGTTAAATACATAAATATTATATCATTTTAGCTGTGTATTGTTACAAAATTGTTACAAAAAAGTGGAGCATACATATTCTAGAACAAAAATGTTAATAAGATGAAATTCGTGAATCGTATAGAAATAAGAATATTACTGACAACGCGTGCATCTACTCTTGTATAAAAACCTTGTCGCTGCACATGCATGTGTACCATGAAACAATTTATCTAATTTATGATAAAATCTATAAGGGGGCATTCAGATAAACGATTTGTTCTAGCTGGATTGATCCAACTCTGTGGGAGATTCTCCCTAAGTGCAATCACGGTAATCGACTTGAATGTCTGACCCAACTACTCGAGGGGTAATTAACTATTAAACTAGCTACTCAGGGAGGTGTGTCAAACAATTTAGCCAATTATACTGAATGCACTTTACCAAGAACCCGCGCTGAGTAATATCGGTTCAGCTGGTACGATGTTTGAATCTGAACGCGGCCTTAGTTCATATTCAAACGAACGCCACTCTCGATCTATATACGACATGCAAGGATCCTCTGTCTCTGCCTCTGTTTATGGGAATCATAACGTTATTATACAGCTAATAAAAGTTTGTTTTTTAATGATATCATTACAAACATCACATTATCAATAAAGCCTACGAGGTATATAAGTATACATTGTTTTTGTGTCCTTTTGCTCACTTGAGAATCCCTGTTATTCTGTCGGAATCCATGCAAAGTTTAACCTAGAAGTAAAGACCTTAAATGTGATAATCTGACTAGGCAAATTCATGTAACCCCACAATTGTTTAAATGATTACGACGAAAACTAAGAATAACAACCCGTCATATTTATCTTCCAGAAGGTCTGTTACACCATCTTAAAATGTACTTTAAATCTTTACGTTTCTACCACATAAATATCCCAAAATCCATTTGGATTTTCGCGTAAAACGAGTAAATACTGAAATCAGATACCTACATTGTTTAATCATGCAGTCCCGTCTTTCTAAGAGGTCACCGCGACAGGAGGACCCTCCTAAGCACGAGCGAGTTCTGTACTGGACTCCGCTCCCGCACGTCTTGGAACAGCGCCCCCAGGGCTGCCACTGGCTCCACTCGGGGTTGTCGACGTCACAGAGACGAGTTTTCCTGGAGTAGATCGTGCAAGGGAACGAGTTGTCTGGGTAACGTGGAATTTTGCCGTATCCTGTTGGAACTCTGTTGAAAGTTGGGCAGGTTAACTTCGTCGGACGAAGTAATGGAGTGCCCTGGTAAATGCATTGGTAATACACGCACTGGTTGCTGCTGTCGCGAAGAAACTGAGGAGTTTGACGATTTGGTTCACACGAGCCCACTAGAATAATTATATTTTTTACATACGTATGTCTTAATTTATCTACTTTGTTTTATTAGTGCAAAAGTCCTGTACATTTCTTTAGCATACAAGGGGCTAAATTTGAATGAGTGTTATTGAAGTGCAACTTTGATAACAACATCGGTCAATGCTGTTGCTTTTTCCAATGAATATATATACAAATAACCGAATAGATAAATTGAAAGATGAATGAATAATAAAAATACTAAATTAATTAGACATAATTTTGTATAACACTGAAAGACATTGACTTAGATGAGTTTTTGTTAAACATATTATTGTTACGAAAAAAATTAAACATAAACTTACCCGGCTCGGCTCTGATGGTATTTATTAATTGCAAAATAATCAAAAAAGCAAAACTAGACAAATACAGCATCTTCTTCAAACTTTTGATAAAACTGTCCCTTTTTTAGTTTAACCTTGGTTAAGAAGCCCAACTGCCTAGCTGTTAAAGAAGAAACCAAATGCTAAAATGCCTTTAAATTTCGAGAAATGATGATAAAGCAAATCGTGCTCAATGTCAAATAACCGCATTGTTTATTAGAAAAGCACGCCTTTTCAATGTGGTTTTACTTTTTTCTTCATTCAGCATGCTTCTGGTCTTCCTTGACAAAGGATGTGGTCTTATCAACAGTTTTCAGCCACTGACCGACAAGGACTGCACCTTAAATAGCCACGCCATTCTGACGGTGCTGTAATGGGAATTTCAGTTACAAATCCAAGCGAAGTGAGTGCTACTGAAATAATCCTGGACAAAATTGACAATTCTTTTGTTCATTGAGAAATATTGCATTTGTATTTATGCGTAGTTCCTTATGGCAAATTGATAATTTGCCACAAAAATTATAATAATGTTTAAAAAAGTATATGCCTATATTCAGAAGTGTTTGCACGTTTCAAACGGCATAATGATTTTAAATAGCTATTGCTTTAATTTGCTGCATTTGAATTCTTCTAAATTTGAGTTGTTGCCAAACTATTTCTGCCAAAATCACCACGTACTCTTACTCAACACCATCTGCAGTCTCTAAACAATAAAATACACATTAGCAAGTTTGCATATGTCTAGAGTTGCCAGGGGTCAACAAATACTCTTAAATTAGAGGGCTTCGGCTGGTGCTTCAGAGTTAGAGCACTTATGACTGATAAGCACGATAACCTACTATCTTTATTTATTTATTTATTTATTTATTTATTTATTTATTTATTATTATTATTATTATTATTATTATTATTATTACTTTTGCTTTTGAAAAGAGCGGGAAATGGATTCAAAACGCTCCATTAGAAAGACATATCAGTAACTTACGTACACAATTCTGAGGCTCGATTTTCGAACACCCCAGCCCCCCTGCAAGGAGAGAACGTTAACCCTATTGCTTTGAAACATTTTGAATTCTTGGGCAATTTTTTTTTTTTTTTTTTTTTTTTGTTCTTTTTTTTTCGCCCATTTTCATCCAACCAATTATAACCATGCAATAAGTCACTATTGCACCGTTGAGGAATTTAGAGTGCACCTGAGTTGAATTAAATAAATGTGTGTTAATGCCACTTTAATTTATTTCAATTTCTTTTCTTGTTGGATACAGTCGTGATCATTAAAAAACGACACTGGCATATTTATTGGTGTTTGGCTAAAAAATAATGCAGATGTCGCTCTTTCGTAAAAGGTAAACATAACTTGCACGTATTCATGCCGATAATAAAAATTAATAGAATAATCTTCACTACCGGGAGTTGGCTTGTGGTCAAACACATGGTCTCCTTCAGAAGCATTTAAATTCTCTGATCAATTTCCCCATGCGCACTCTCTGATCGGCTGTCGTCATGGTAACAACATAAAAAATGCACCGCCAACTGACCCTGGCATGCTGACCACCATAACGGAAATAACGGACGACCGATTGCCTAATATTGGAAGGCTAATTTTGTTGGTAAACATTTCAGAGAAAAATAATGAACAAAAACAACTGTTTACGTTGGCTTGTGGTTTATCAATCACGCAATAATAAATGATGCATTAGTTACCTCTGTTACAACACGTAATGCGTGGTATGTGAATTATCGTGTTTGTTCTGCCCGGCGGATACCATTTGTTTCTCCAAATTGACACTTACAATACTGTTATATGAAGAAAATGTCACGGTACGCCTTACCAAGAAAAAAAAGGCACTCGTTTCTTCCACGGAATCTTGACGTAAACGTGATATTTATCCGCCGATAGACGATTCCGATATCCGATGCGGAGTTATAGATACACATTACCACGAATGATGTACAATATACATGTAGTTAAGATAAAAAAAAGTAAATTTGCTGTTAAAATATTGTTGAAACATTGTCAAAATAGATCAGCACACATGACATGTCTGTAAAATCATCATTTGCAACAACAAGTGAAGACTCCATCACCAACCTACAGGAATTAATAATACCAACATTCTGTTGACTTGTCATTTAAGTGACACACTTGTCATACGTAGCCTTTGCTGTATGTGGCCATCACATTAGTAGCTATTATTAATATTATTAATATGTATGAAATATGAATAACCTAAAATGATTCAATATTACAAAGAAGTGTCAAGATACACCTGTATTGTGGGCGGTGCAGATGTCTTGACCTCAGAATAGATATTGTAAAACATTTGAATTGACAAGGAAATAGAGAAAATAAGATCACGACGATCGGCTCAATAGAAATAAAAATGCCACAGCTATCTGTGGCATTCAAGGACATCGTTTTAGGGTTTTTAAGGAAAAGGAAAAGGGAAGATTTCGGGGTGAGACAAGTATACAACACCTCAAAAGTTCTCGATTTCCATATGTAAATACACACGTATGATTCAACTGTTAACAAGAAATGCCGTAATATATTATATGTTACTCATGATCCAAGATTCTTCAATAAATTAATCTTGACTGATTTTTCTGAATATTGTTATTAATCACATTTCCTTCTTTAATTTTGGCAGATGTCGGAAAAGTCAAAAGACAATACAATTTAAAAGATGATACAACCGCGGCGGAAATCGGAATACCTCGCAAATAATACCAAAATGTTATAAATACGACAGAGCAACCTTTGCTAAATCAGAATTCGAAACTTCATTGAAACTGACTTGCAGACGAAGATTAACTTAAGAAAAGTATTCGTTTTAAAGCACCTGTGCAGAAGAATAAGAGCTCATTTTGGCACATTTTCACAAGAAGAAGAAGATGGGGTTTTCACTCTGGTTTGTCCTTATACCTTTGCTGTTGGCGGTTAGCGTTGCCATTGCCAAACAAGGTGAGTTATCGTTCTCAGCAAATAAAACTGTTACAAAATAAAAGTGTGATTTGCTCATCTTTAATTCACACACGATGACTCTCTGCATTTTGATTTGTATTTATTCATGTATTTATTTATTTATTTATTTATTTATTTATTTATTTATTGCTAAGGGATGCGAGTGTTTGCTTTTGTATTTCAGTTGTTTCTACTGGCGGCAAGTTAAAGTGTACAGTAGATACTGTAAATGTAAAACTACAAAATCAAAGCGCCATTTAATTTAGTGAATACAAATTACAGTGGAAATATTTGGAAAAAATAGATATTATAAAGACATTTTAAGAAAAAAATATTAAAGAGTGTGTGCAAAAAGCAAAACTTTAGACATAATATCTAAAAAATTATATAATACATAGATAGAAATAGTTTTGGTTGTTATAGATAATAACACAACTGAGATCCAAACCATTACTTAAAACGTACAGTGAGTTGCACTCACTTGACTTTACTTTAATGTTGCATTTTTTCAATAGATGGCGCTTGTGACCCGGAACGCCTCACACCCCAGTTCCTCCGCGACGACACAAACCACTGCGTCTTTTACCAGTGCGAGTACCAAGGCACGTCATACCTCCGCGCCGTCAAACTGGAGTGCCCCTTATTCAACAGGGTACCCAGCCGATACGGGAAAACTCCTCGCTATCCCGACGACTCATATCCCTGTTCTATCTACTCAAGGAAAAACACCCTGTGCGAGCTGGAAAATCAAGAATGGACTACGTGGTCACCCTGGGGATCCTGCTCAGAAAGGTGCGGGGCCGGATATCAGTACAGAACCCGTAGATGTTTGGGAGGCGTTGATTGCCCTGGTGATTTAATGGAGAAGAGGGAATGCGTGGGTGAATTATGTAAGTATACCTGGTATTTAGGTTAAGTTTTTTTTAAATAGTGTTTAAAGATTGAGGGGTTGTTTGGTACGCTCCGATGAAATGACAAACTGTATTTACTGGTCGTCTAACTGGTAAGGGGGTTTTCGTAATCATTCACACACTTTCTGTCTTGATGTTTTCACATTAGTAATTTTCACAGCAAAAAAGTATTATTATTATTATTATTATTATTATAATAATTATTATTATTATTATTATTATTATTATTAATATTATTATGTTTCTTTTATTGAACAGGTTTCTTTTTCTTTTTTTTTCTTTTTTTTCATTCCCCTTAAATTTAAGTCTTAACAATTGTTTGTCTTGATTTCAGGTCCAGACATTGATACCCCGGCAGACTCCAAGATTTAGAGCAATGCAACACTGGCGTATTCTCAAGAAGTTTACACAAAATGAAACAAATAACAGACCTTTGAAAAATAAGAATTGGTGACCCGTATGACTAGAAAATTTAGCTTTTTGGGTTAACTGTATGTTAATACACATTGTACATCAATAGTGAATATCAGTGATAAACATAACTGTTAACATGTTATTAAGACACATTAACCAGTTGTACATGTACCGGTAACAAGTAAACTAGGACAACATGCTTATTTTTTATACGAGATGAATTAAGCCAGTTTACGCATCAATACAGATTTCTCATTGTGTTAGTTGAGACATAAACTGAAATTGGTATTTCACACTATTATACTATTTGCATTGTTAATCGTTTCCTGTACCTTTAGAATTATATTATATTATATTATTGACACACTTATGAAAAAACTGTGTTTCACTCGAAGCTCAGTCTGACATGTGGAAGCAGTAACATAAATATTTGTTTTCTTAATTTTTGTAATAAACAGTTCACAAGTATCGACAAAGAATGCGTTTTGCTCGAAGCTCAGTCTGGCACATGGAAGCAACAACATAAATATTTATTTTCTTAATTAAAAAAAAAAAACAGATAAACACAAGTATCGACACATTGACGAAGAGAATGCGTTTTGCTCAAAGCTCAGTTTGGCATATCAACATTCCAATAATCAATATTTGGCAATGTTCTTTCACCTTGGCATACTTGTCCTTGAATGTAACCTTTTCAAGGATTGTCTTACTACGGTGGTGCCATTAACAGATCATAACACGGCTCTGCAAACCCTCTCCACAAACCCAGTCCAAAAAGAAGAGAAAATATAATAAAGCGCCATATAAACGTCATTCGGTAGTGGATCTGTTGAGAGCAAACTGATATCCTCCTATCGCAAGAAAACTGAACTGTAATGTTGAAGATAAAAATCAGATAAATCTGTGTTTGAGACAGGGTTTACCATAGGGAATGTGAAAAATTATTTTGTGTTTTATTTAACTCCTTGTAAAAAGAGTCACTCCATTTATTACCTTCCATAGTTCTGCTTTGACTTGATTGGGTACAAGTGCTCTTATGTACGCCAAAACCTCTTTTGGATATGTATAATGGCGTCCATCTGGACCCAGACCACGCTTTCAAGATTGACGAGATAGCGTTATCGGTTCGAGCTATAACTGTCTATCTGTACACCTGAAGGAGATCAAATTCACCATGTTTATTAAGAAAAATGTGCACTACAAAGTTTTTTTTTATTTTTGATTGATCTCTCTTCCATTTTATTGACATTGAAAGTAAAAATTATTTAATAGTTTGCTTTAATTTCACGTTTTTATAGATAAAATCAACAGTAAGTCTTTAAAGAAAAATCCCCGAACCCCTTTTGTAGTACTTTGTTCATGTGTTTTAATACCATTAAAAGCATGTTTATAGTTGCCCAGCTGCCTGAGTAAATCAGGCAACTGAAAGTGACATTTTTGCCCAAAAAATACCAATATTACATCACACGATGAACTTGGAACTGTGTTTCAAGCATAATTAGATGTTTTGAAGATACATTAAATAAATGCAACAGGAATAAAAAAAAAGCTAAGACCTTTAATTTAAGATAAAATCTCCAACCTGCAGTCCTCCCTTAAATCCACACCCCCACCTCACCGTGAAGTCCAACGAAATACTCACGAAATTGAGTCCAGTTGACATCAACCTTTAAGAGATATTTCAATGAATTAATTTTATCTCGAAAGTCCTGGCTATTTGCTATTAGACACAAGGTTATTTGCAATGTATTCCAGCAATCAATATCCATAATTAGCCATGTATGCTTAATGACACGCCCTCCCGATCAGTCACGTGGTTTTAATTCCAAGAAATGCCTACTTCGATTAGTCGTATGTACACAGGGCCACGCCCACACTGCCAGTCAAATGCACATGTGCAGTATATATGTAAATTGCGTGACTTGCATAAAGTAAAATTACTTTACAGAGTAACTCGATTAGCGCTGGTCCTAAAAAGTCCTGGATATTTACACCAAAAGCCTTCCCTGAGGCAGACTCGTAACTCGTAACAGGCGTTACTTAAAGAAGAGGCGAACACCATGCATGGATATCTCATCAAATTCTTGCTTTTAGCTTCTGGTAAGTGAAGCACCCCTTTTGCATTTACCGGTATATCAAAACGCGTCTTATTTCCAACAACGATTTGGAAATGATCTGCGTTCGTCTTTTTTTTCTTGTGTTTTCATTTTCATTGCAAAGTTATTATGTTTTTGGGATTTAAACGAAAAGGCAATGAATGACTCTGGTGGTTACGGATCGAAACGTTTTGCATTACCATTTTTACATACTCTCGTGATAATTGACGTAGAAGCTACACCCAGCTAATCTGCACCTATAATTTTCACGACTTCAATCACTTTTTTTGATGGAACAGTTAAATGATTGACACAATGCATTAAATAGGCGGTTATCTCAATATTACCTTTGCATGTGCACGCGCACATGCACTAACATACATGTTCATAACACGCTGATATACAATCATAACCGTATGTTTTTTGGAAACTGGTAAACACACTGAATGACTATTAGTGCCGACACACGCATGTTCATATGCACGTGTTCGCATGCAAATAAAACAAACGTAAGCACGTACCAAAAAAAATGCATATAGACAACCGCTAATATTAGAATTCCCTATGATTGATGAATAGCATTTTTGAAATGATCCTATGTTTGCGTTAAAAACAAGGACTTCACTCGGCTGCCCCGTAACTCTTTGTAATGGGACAAAACAGGATCCATTAGCAATGACAGTAAATCAATTCTATGATTTTTCCCTTATGCGGACCGTAGGCTGATGAGGGTTCTCAAAAACCATATTGCCAACTTGAGGTGTTGGTTTGCACTTTTAAGCTGCATTATGAATTTTATAACAACGGGTTTCATGTACAAAACACAGCTAAGTGCGCGATTGATTTTTTTCGGCTGAAGAGCATCATTCTCCTCTTTCGCAACCCATCTAGCTAGGTTTAAAGTGTTTACTTTTGTTGTTTTAACAAAAGTATATATGTAACATAATATGAAAGATGACAATAATAATGTTGAGGACATGCCCCTCTCCACTGAATTGATTCAACAATGCGCCCCTGCAAATTTGGCCGTGTGTTTAGCGCCTCTCATCCCTGATTCATCTTCGGAAAATGGGATCGAAATATGAAATAGTCAGACAGAACGCGAATGTTACAGACCGTGCTCTCATAATGTCAGCATTTATTTCTGCTGTTTATATGTGTAAAAATAAATATATAAAGACTGGATAAAAAATGGATAAATAGTTTAATGGTTTAGAACCAATACGTAACGACAATAAATGATGACCTATACATTGAATAAATAAATAAATGAATAAATAAAATAAATTAATCAAAATTTGTCTCTTTTTCCATTTGACTCAGTGTATGTATTGAACAAATAAATAAATAAATAAATAAATAAATAAAAGAAGTTAATCAAACTTTTTTTTTTCTTTTTCACTCAGTATATGCATCAACAGCGGGCTCGGACCTCCCCTCATACGGCTGTTACGCCGAGCTCAGTGTGGGCTCCTTCATTCAGGGCGACACCCTGAAGGAACAGCGGGCCCGATCACTCTCCGACTGCGCCTCCAAGTGCGTGGAAAACGCCCTCTGTGCCTCCTCCTACTTCTGCGCCTCGAACAAAACGTGCGTTCTCAGCGGCATAAGCAAGAGCGTGTTGGAGACGTACAGTACGCCGGCGGCATTGGTGCTGAATGACTCCGATTGCACTTTGGTCACCTACGATGCCTGCTCCGGCACTGGATTCAGCTCAGTAAACATGGTAAGTGCACCTTTATTCATTTTTTTATATTTTGGTTATTTCATTATCTATGTGCATGTACGTGTGTGTTTTTGTGTGTACGTGTTCGTGCGTTGCACGTGTGTGTGTTCATTATGCGTGTAACAAAAAAGTGTGCCATTTTTCTCAAGGGGTTGCACCTTTTTTTCAATGATTTGTGTTAAATTTACAAAATAATGTTAACAATATGGAGATTATGAAAAGGACTTGTGTTTTGGTACCCAGCTAATACCACAGATTCGGATAGCCGACTTTGTATGCAGAAGCAATTTTGGGAAATGCCCCTCGTATGATAATTCCCCAACAAGTAACATTGTTCCCAGGATAACCAGAATATAGAAAGAGAGCTGAGACGAAAAAAGCTCCCTATTTGAAACACAATGTAGTAGGCTAAGAATTCATACTTGTTTAATTATTCTTCGTATTGTTTTTTTTTTTTTTTTAACAAAATGATAAAGATGGTAAAATCGTTTGGAATAATGTCGCTTTCCGTTAAGAAATCAAATACACCCAACAAGATCATGAAAATATCGGTAGAAGCTTTCACGTATTCTAATCAATACGCGAAGCCATTCTAATATAATGTTTGTACAGTATTTTTTTACACCTTTGAATACTGTACAAACATAACTTTTTTTAAAATTATTTTCAATCGATCAAACTAACATTTATGAAACCTGTGGCTGTTAAAGATGAACCAGTTGCTACAATACATGTTTATCAGGTTATAATGAAATCTACATCTCCATTTCCGGAAGAAGGGCGGTGCAGTATCACCTCGGTCCAAAGATTCCAAAGGTAAAATGTGCAGTTCCTGCTACAACCGAAATTGCAGACAAAACTATCCCTGGCATAAATAGATTCTCTTATTTACTTATTATTTATAGTACAACTTTATCGATAATACTACTATAATTTTGTGATTCTTTTATCAACCGTTGTCTCGGGGTTCTTTGTTTCTTGAAACACAATCGGGAATTAAAAAAAAAAAGCCAATTTGTCTCTCTTTTATTCCTCTTATGTGAGTGACGGAAATTTGGATAAAAATCAAATCTTCCCTGACAGAATTCTGGACGGGGCCCAAACCTGGATCCCGATGTAACAGGAATGGAAGTCCGCTAGGAGCCGTAGTCCGTTCCCCATTACTTTGTACAGGAGACATTCGTCCTATACACTAACCCCAATACTCTGACTAACCCTAACCTGTACTTATCATATGGGACCCCGGGGGACTACCTTTCCTGTCACACCGACAGAAATTTGGAAGGAAATCAAATCTTCGTTGCGTACCGTATTTTGAGCCTGCCGCCGGCACACTTTACACGCCGACAACAATTACGATTTTCCAGATTGAAAAATCAACAATAAGTTATGTTGCATTCTCTAAACCATTATGAATCACCACAGAATTCACAGCCATGCCATTAATGGAAACGCATTTTATTCATTGTAAAATATTTAGCTTGATACGCGTTTGTTCTCTGTCTGGAATTGCAAAAATCATTATTATATGCTATTGCCAAAATGCTCTTTACATGCTTACACACACTGGACAATAGAAGCGTCACCCCCTGAATCAGAGTAATCAAAGTTATAATGCCTGGTCTACTTATAATGTGACTAATGAGTATAAAACCGCTGTACCATGGAATTATATTGTTGGTCTGTTTGTGAAATTTGATGTTAAAAAATGATACCAGGAGCATATCATTCCACAGTCATTTATCTCCCCCAAAGTACTGGTTCAGTAGGGGTGACACTTCTATTGTCCAGTGTGTGTATGTGCTATATCGCATTTTGCTTTTGTCCATGTTTTTTGGGATTGTTTGGATATTGACTTCAAGTTGGAAGTTTTGATGTACCCAGACACCGTTCGATGTTAACAACAGGACTGTTGGTTATGATCCTCATTAATTTTACCGTAGTGTCCTTTCAGTGGAATTAAATTGCCCATGTCCAACGCTCATACCGTTTTCTCCAAGGATTCAAAGTTCAAAATCCATTTCATTGTAATTAGCGATCATTTACTTAAGTCATCAGTATATCGACCTGCAGATTAGATTAAGGTTATGTCACAGCAATGTTAGAACACGGGCACAAAACACAAGTAATCTTAGTTCTCATTCCCATTGAAACTATCGGTATACGAAAATCTACCCAACTTTGCGGGGACTCTCGCAGAAAGCAATCAGATTAACACGCCTCCTCTTATTTCCAACGTATTCGTATAAGCACCAGCGTTACTGCATTTTACTCAGCACCAGGAGGAGGTGTGTTAAACTGCTAATTTGAATGCGGAGTTGGATCGATCTACGTAGACCGATAAATCAGTGGGAATGAGGCCTTAGGCTAGAAGCAAAATTTGAAGTGTAACTTTACCCACATCCAGACTGAAGTACAAAAGAAAAGAAAAATATTTACACTGGTCAGATGATGAAATCAGGATGATAAACCTAACCTTAAATAAACAAGGCACGGAGAAATGCGGAGTCGTGAATGGAGGAAGGTTAACTGCGGAATGTCTTTCAGTTTTTCATAGATGCGACTGAGAAACTGTGCATATTTCTTTACAATCCACACATTTCTTTTTTTTTCAGTCTTCAGAACAGATTTTGAATTACTGTAGTTACATTTAAACTGAAAATAATATTTTCATATATTTCAAGTTTTTTATGCTAAGAGAAATCGTTCATTATCCGTAACTGCTGGGAACGCATTAATGATTTTATTATTGTTTAACGCCTTGTGCGACACAACTTTGCACATTTTAGGAACGCTCCACAGAGGTAGTTATCAGATCACATTGGCTAAAGTTAAAATTAGTAATATAGAGAGATGGTGGGAATTGCTGTTAATGCAGTATTGTGTAAATATTTTCTGGTACATTTAAAATTACTTTTTTTAGCTATGTAAATTACTAATTAATCATACACATATTTCGAATCCGCCTTTCAGACATATACCAAGCCAACAGGAATATAATCATTACAATTCTAATAATCTTTAATATATTTCCCTGTAGTGTGAACTGGTAACCTGTCAAAACAACGGCACATGCGTTAATACGACTGGATTTAGAGGCTTCTACTGCGCATGCCCAAACTATTTCTCCGGCAGATGGTGCGAAATTCAGGGAGGTGAGGAAACAAATTTTAAAAGCCACATTATTTGACTCCTTTCAAATATAATTGTTTTCATATATTATATAGAGTTCCTTATGTATCCGAAAGAAAAAAAGACACAATATTCTTATCATCCAAGAAGTAAAGTGTCAAAATTATATATTGATAATGGTAATGATGATACTCCTCAGGACAGATTGTTTGATTTTCTATTTTCTCTTTTTCAAAGTCGAAGAAGTCACTGTCGTCATATCTCCGTCTTCAACATCTGCAGTGGCAATGGCAGCTACTGCAAACACGGCAGAAGCCACTATGAGCGCACTCGGGTACGGATCTTCCTCGGAGTCGATGACAAACGAGAGTTCGCCTGCCAGCGACGAGATCTCCTCCACGCCATGAGCACCATTTTATCGGGCTCTCGTAATCTGGGACGAGACCTATTTCACGTAATTAACCCCGCAACGTTTTATAATCAATGATTTACTTTTGATGATGCGTAATTGTTACGCTATATGGACCATAACCGGACACTTAACTGTGTTGTGCTGATTGTAACATGGTCATTGTCGTCAAGCGTTTTTTTTTTATTCTTTTTATTGTCACTTCCACGGTAGCATACGACAAGAAGCAACCACTTTGCATGACCAGCTCTGTAAATATACTCTGTAACATACAATCTCTATCTTTTTGAAGCCGTTACAAAATCGGTTGAAAGACGCCAACAAGTTTTGCAACTGCCACAACAGCTTCTGTAGAAATGTTAAGACTTTTAATAAAAATACACTACATGTTCTTTTAGTTATGATGTTATGTGGCGGTATGTATCCATTAAAAAAGCCATCTATACTTGATAGTGCCCGGGCTAAAATGCATTGATTTCAGACATTGATCGCCCAACACAAATATATAATAAACCGCATTACCAAACAATTACTACAAGTGGGTCTATAATTCGTGGGGGTCCATGTACGGCTGTGTACAGAGCCCTACGTGAATTTATTTATTGTTGTTACTAATCGCTATGTACGTTAAAGTTATACTAACATCATCATTCATTTCATTTCATTTGAGGATTAACTTTTCAAACCTCGATTTCTATTCCCTGGGAATGACAGACTAGTCATGGACGGGTGGGGGGGGGGGGGGGGGTAGGGGGTTGAGGTACATCGTGGATTTTTCCTTTTCTGCTTCTACAAACCTGTATGCGAACGAAATACGAGCCATTCCCCTTTGCTACAAGCATGTTCCTCAAACATGTACAGTGGGTTTCACCCTGGCCCCAACAATGTGTAGAGTTTGTTATTTTAAGAAATGACCTGTACAAACAATGTTAAATAAAAGATACACGCGTTCCCGTTGGATTGCTTCCCAGGTACTTTTACTGGACCTTCTGAATAAATCATTCAATCGTTATTCGTGAAATATAATACGTTCTTCTTTAGAAATGGCAACAACATTTGTTAACGGATTGTCGAGAATAAAAATCAATCTGTGAAAAACGAAACGTCCATGTCATGTTCTTGTTCTCAAGATCGCGTGGTTTTACAATAGTGAAGGCTGATATGTATATTTACCCAAGCTCTTGTAATCCCTTCTCTATTGATCATTTTTTTCACTAACGTCATCAACAGTGTTTTGGAGTTTGTTTTCATAACAGCGTTAATGTGACACCTGTATATTTCCGTGATTATAAATAATTAGGTAGATTTTTTTATGTGATGAATGAATGAATGCACGAATGAATGAAAGAACGAACGAACGAACAAACGAATGAATGAAGGAATGAATGAAAATGTGTCAGGGTGTTTTTAATTTCGTGATCCTTTATTTGATAGGACCCCTGACTACTGCTCTGTCAACTAAGTTCCACATCGCTGCTTGTCCTTCGTCGCATCATTTCTCACTTTCCGTCGACGTCGTTTTATTTACACTGTTCACTCTCTACCTTTGGTTCACCTCACAAATCAAGCGGATTCCACCATTCGATACTCATGCTGTATTCCAGGTAAGGCTTTTCATGATGTTAGACATACAGGTAATTATATTAAATCAAGGTCAAGATCAAGATATTTTCTTTTTTTTGTCACCCATAAAAAAAAGTAATTATATAAATAAAGAACAATGAAACATGGCAGTTCTAGAGAGAACAATGAGAGACTGAATACCACTTTTTAAAAACATGCATGAAAACAGTATTCATAAATTTTTTTTTTCTTAATTCTGGAAATCGGCAGCAGGTTGTGACTACTAAATTAATCATATTATCACCACTAATCAAAAATAAGAACTTGTCGTTATTATTTTAAGAAATCAAAACTGATATTAAAATGTCTGGCAATGTTAAAATTTCACCACGTTCATCAGTATAAAAGGGCAGTTAACTATAACATTTAACCTCGTCTTCAATCCCCTTATCACACAGTGGACAGGTTCTTTCCACAATAACTAGTTTTTAGTATTGATCGTTTCTATTCATAGTAATATTGTATACGTATAGAGGGTACCCTTGGGGGGGGGGCAGTGATCACAGTTCACCGAAAATAAAACTATCGATTCACAAATCACAGTACCCAGTAAACAAATCTTTATTCATAACTCACTGATAATGCAAATCGAAAATACTGAAAATCACAAATCAACGGGTATAATGACATTTTACAAATGGCAAAGAATAAAAAGCCGCATTAACGAGTCACGGGAATGGGGTGCTTCACCGATCGAGCAAAATAATATGAACGTTTTACGATCAAGTCTCGGGGAAATAACAAGTGACTTTCACGGGTAACGAAAATACCTACCCATGGGACCATTGTAAGATATTTTCATAATATTGTTTTGGGTGGGTACAGAATTACTTGCATCCATCTTTGTGCATTACTCTGTCTAATAGGCCTACTTTGCCATGATAACACTGTTTAAGACAATTCTGTAAATAGAAAGGTTAGCCTTAATTGGACAAGGTTTTTCTTTTTTCATCGCTACCACGACTAGGTTCGGCAAAGAAGTAAACACTTTCCATTACCAACTATGTAAAATAACGAGGTTTATTGGTATTATTTTTTTCATACAAATCATTTAGTTGATTCATTTATTTAGTTTCTCGTTTGCGGTTCTTATCAAAATAATCATAATTGTATTGTTTTTAACGATTCCTGAGTTTTTCAACTTTTAACTAAATAGGCTTCAAACACACTGGCCTTCATACTTTGCTGATGACAAACGGAACATGGTATTACTTCTTTGATTCATAGCAACGTCTGGGACACACATCATAGAAAGCAATAGTGTATCTGTTGGATAAGCAAGGTTGTTGCAATACAAATTACAACAACAAGGTATTCGTCTCTTCTTGGCTGTGCTCTCCTGGACCCAATCGCTCCACATCCCTTTGTCTCAACTAACACAATCCACTTCGTGCCTGAACTGTGTTCGATACCTTTCGGCTGATTCCGTATTCATACTGAAAAGCAATGAAGTATCGTCCTTGCACAGGTTTCATACCAAAAGCCTTATGTTTGTCAACTATGACACATAATGCCTATGTACTCACTTAAAGATATCCTTTCCGAGACTTTCCTGCCAAAATGAACTCTTCTAGGAGAAAAATCCTACTCACAATTCATTGCTTAACCCGTCCCTATGATTTTTATTTTTACTTTTATTTTACTTGTACTTTTATTTCATTATTTTGTCAGTATATCTATAATACCAGTTCCATTTATATGGTTAAGTTTGGGATAACTGGTTAATCATTGAATCAGCCATATCTTCCTGTATATTTCTGAAGAATACCGACATCAGACTTTTCTTCTGTGGGCCTTAATCGTTCCTATAATGTCTGGATTGGGAAAGATGAGTAGCTTTGCAGTATGAAATTATAGATTATGTGACTTTGGAACTTTTTTTCAACGCAAAGTGGATAGTATACATTTAAGTCAATTAATGTGCCGTTAAACAATATCAAGGAATAAACACATCGATGCTTGGCCTACAATTGTTTGAAATATGTGATGTTGTTGTTGTTGTTGTGCGCTGTTGCAATGATAATGATGTAACGTTCATTCTATTCGAGTAAGGCACTGGACCCTAATCCATCGCTCCCAGAAACTGTTGAAAAAAGTAGATTTATTCAGTATCCACCCATTATTATTATTATTATTATTATTATTATTATTATTATTATTATAATGGGTAATATTATAATCATTTATAAGTTTATGTAGTCATTTATGTAAGAGAGGAGGTCCAATATCAACAACTTTCCCTCCTACATCTCTCTCACTTGAATACTTTCTAGAATAAGTTTAAAACATGCATTTTGACTACCCTCTATTACAAGCCCTTTTATCTATTACTTCAACCTTTTTTGTCACAACGTCAACAGACAGAATTCGTGCAGACATCTGAAGGCCTTACCCTTGTGCTCTGAAAAATTCGCGTACCATTAGTGTTTAAACTATATGTGTGTTTGAAACTGAAACAATTCAAGTGGCTTTTTGCCGATGCTAAAATCTGTCAACAAGGAAGACATGACCAAAATAAACTTATCACTTTTCTTCTTATCTTTTTTCATAATCATGTCAATTTTTTCGCTTTTTAAACTTTATTGCATTTTTGGCCCCATTTGTGTGTTCACATGCATTAAGTCTCCAATGAAGTGAGATCAGAGAGATTACTTGCCGCCATTGCTAAGTGATTCAACCGCAATGCTCTGTGTTAAAGGGACAGCAAAGTCTCAGCCTCTGAATGCGGCTTTTGTACGTTAAGGTTCATTTGCATGTAAAAACTAGTTCCTGAATTTCGCTGACTTTTTTGCAACGGCTCTCTCTCAAAATTAGAAAAATAACCACATCGAAAGAAAACTAAAATAGGCATGTACAAAGATTTGAGCATCAGCACGCAAAACATAAATTATACACAAAGATGCAAATAGAACTACAGTTTACACTAAAAGCCGTGACTCGTGCAGGGTAAATTGGGGAAATAAATGTAAGGCATCACCTCCCAATCCGTCTAATGTGCGATCGCACGTGAACGGGCGGGTGCGTTTGCAGCGTTACTCGCTAGCACTGGGGCCACAGTAACATATGAATCTTTGTTTCAACGTCCTGCTCTGTTTAAGCTGCAAGTCTTGGTTACTTGCTGTGAAATGTAACAGTATTGTTTTTCCTTGATAATTCAATATTCTAGCAGTAAAAAAACATGGTTTAACCAAAAAAAAAAAAAAAAAGAATTCATGAAGGAATCAGTTGTTGAGGCCTGTAACCAGTTATTTCAAATTAGACTTTTTTTCTCTGAGAAATTGAACCTTTGGTATTATAATAGCACTGAACCTAGATCAAAGTTCCATCGATTCAAACCTCCCACAGCCAAAATGTTAGTTAACCCCCCCCCCCCCACCACCACTTACCCACCTACCCCCGGCCTACGGGCCTGTATTTAAGTACCTATAAAGTGTCTTAATTCTTAATATAACGTAAATAAAAAAATACGTCTAACTCTGAACAGAATTAAGTATGTGTCGGCATAAGAAATGAATGTTTAGTAAGGAGTTAATATCTCGTCATATAAAGTAACATTGCATTTAACAGAGCATCGTGGAAGGACCTGTGCGCAAGAGGGTGCATCTTCGTCGTATCTCTTTCTAAGATCACGCAGCAATTAACGCGTACCCCTTCATCGGCCTCTAATCGACCGGAGAGAGAAAAAATACCATTACATATTTCCTCGTGGTTTGTTTACTTATTTCCGCATTCGAAGACGATGGAGGGAGTATATAACTGGACGCTTTGGTCTCAGGTAGCAGTGGAGTCGAGATCGGGGAAGCGTAGAGATCCTCTGATTGAGCTGCTTGCTTATTTTGTTGAAGGTTAGTTATACGTTTCTGAGAGCATTGCCGGTTAGTGTGAAGCTTTGCAATGGTAACCTACCGGTACCTTACAAAAAATTATGGATCTGTTCCAAAACACTTTAGCTGTTGATAACTAATTAATCTATTTCTTAATTCCATTAGGTATTTATTTATTAATTTATTTATTTATTTATGTTTGTTCTAATCCTACAGTTTGTCTACCTTACGAATTTTTCTTTATATATTTTATGTTTTTGCAGCATACAAAGTATCTAAATTCAAACATTATTGAAGTAACGTATGTTCTCAGTTACAGATTCGTATTGAAAAAAAAATTTGTCATTCCAGTAATGTTGCCAGAAGCCGTTGTATCTGCAAAGATGTTCGACGAACCTAAAGTGGTCGTAGTTCCCGAAGGAGCAAAAACTTCGAACAAGAAAAAGTACGGCGCTATTGCAGCTGTCACGCTTGTCATCTTGGTTGCTATGGCAGTGGGCGGAGTTGTGGTTGCCACCCACATGACACAGAAAGCAAACACCGATATGTTGAAGGTGAGTTTTAATGGTTTCTGGTTTTATATGTTATTTATTAATATATAGGCTATAGTTTTTTTATGTTATTCATTAAAATAAACAACATCTATAATCGCAATAATGGCATTGTAAAGCAGCAAACAAGATGGTATTTAAAGCGAGAGGTGCCTGAGTTTCGTTGCAGATGGGATTGCGACACGATTTAGTAGAACAGCCCGTAGTTGGGGGATGGAGGGTTCGGGGTGGGGGTGGGGGGTGGGGGTTCGAACGAACTTCCCTTTTGCCGGGAAAAGGTCCGCTCTGGGTAAAAATTGATCGACGTTCTCGAAGGTTTTATGATAAAAGGTCCACTTTAAAAAGAAAAAAAGAACCTCTCACCTTTGAAGGTATTGGCTACGGGACTGGTAGAGGATACAAAATGCTTATTAGAAGAGAAAATGGAGGGGATGCGGGGTGCACAGGGATTAAGAAAACTGTCTACCTACTCTTCTAATATATAAATATGTAGACCAGAACAATTTCGTAAAACATGTAGGCACGGGGATTATAAAGTATGACTGATTTCATTCGATTCACGCGTAGTACGTATTTTTTTTGGGGAGGGAGAATGGGGAAGGGCCTCGGGAGATCTCTGAAGTTTAGGGGTGAACATGTGCCCGCTGTGTACCCCCGCCCATGATCGATCACCGAAGATTGCAACCACAATAAAACATATCCCGTCTGGAAGTGCACCCCCACTCAGTGCGCCTCAACTCAGTGCC